ACAAAGAATCATTCATCTTCTGCTCGGCAAGACACTTTCGGATTCATCTGAGCGCATTGACAGACCAGGTCATGCATTCCATAAGGCTCGGTCGCGCGTAGTTATCCTCTTTCGCTTGTAATCTTCCGGTCCGGTAGAGTTTTTGCCATCGTTTGGGTTCTGGAGCTGCTTTTTTTGCTAGTGGAACGGAGGAAGGCATAAAACTTTCAAAAAATGTTCCGACGATCCTCGGAGCCCCCATTCAACTGATCTTTCTCTGAAGATTCGAGACCCGAAGTCTTCCATCATCATTGCCATCATCTCATAATTTTGTGAGCACATAACCTCTTCTCGATGAGTTATTATTGTTATATATTTTGGCGCTCTCGATGGGTTTCCGTTTCTTTTTTCTTTTTTCTTTTGCTCCTTTCGTTCAACGACGCAATCCCATCATTGTCGTCGTTGGGAAGTTGAAGAAGAACATGAGGAAGAAGAAGAAGAGCAATAGGAGCCGAACCGGCGGCCGTAACCATAACCATAAAGCGAAGAGCCTTCTGGCTCCCCTTTCGTCGTCAACCGATGGAGCACGAAATGGCGCGGTTTTAGTAGCAATTTGAGTCGATGGCATGGGCGGTATAACTGGATAGTAAAACTCAAAAAGTTTGAAGCCGCCAGCATCCTATACTCATTCCATCTTCGACGACGGGGGATGGGGCATAACGTGGAGCGCGCGGAGCGAAATGCAAGGCGACAGCTAGAAGGAGAAAAAGGCAGAGAGACATACACAAGTGTCCTATAAAATCACTATAAAAATACGTCAATTTTATGGTTCGTGTGCCTGTGTGTGAGAAGAGATGGGCAATTTTTGAACGAAGGCAACGGGACCTTAAAAGTGATGGATGTGTGTGATGGAGGTGTGTGTGTGTGTGTCTGGGCCGAGTGGTGTCGAGGCAAATTTGCACCTTTTCTTTTTTTTCGGTTCGGTTTCCTCAGATCGTTAATTTCATTTATGAAGCATTGGAAGAGAAACATGGGTAGCTAAGGAGCCAAATATTTATGTCTGTTGGACGAATTGCCTCTTGAATTTTTCGATTGGAGACTGTCAGCTTGATCCACTGTTTTATGAAACTAATTTATCTTGGGTATAATCCTTTTACATGACAAGACTACAAAAGATTCTACGGGTCCTCACCTCAAAAAATTGACGTCTATGACCCTAATTAAGAATTCATCCGGGTCCAAACCATTATTTCCCATAGTAATGCTGTCAATATCCAGGTGTTACCATCTCAACCACCCACGACTAAAAAACTATTGTATCTGTATAGTAGACGTCGAGACAGAAAATGTGTCCTCCACTTCTCTACACCAATACAAATAGTCAGCATTCGTAGTGACTCAATTCTTTCCTTAATCCTATTCTAAAATCTAATCCTTCTCTTTTCTTATACGTTCTTCAATCTCACATCACATATCAAAACAAAATCACCCTATCAACACGTCTAACTATGAGCTTAATTAGTTGACGATATCACTTATTCTCCTGACTTTTCATCACTAATCTCCTTCCTCCCCACTCACCCAGGCTCCGCCCCCTTCTATAGAGGGGAGGCAGGGCTCGGACTCCGCCCTCTTTCCGTCTCGATGACAGCTCCACTGCCTGTCTCAGGTATTTATTTTGCCAACTCCCATCTCGATTTTGTGTTTCCTCTATTCAACCTTTTCAATATTTACTTCTCAAGTCAACGATATCTCTCCCTAAGCAACAACAGTTTCAGATTCCTCAGCTTGCGTCTACATCTTCTTCTTTTTTGGCTCTCCATTCTTTGCTTTATCAATTAAACGACGTCATTCAAAAACAGTCAAGCAGCTTGAAACTGTAAGTTACATTCCTATTTTTCCTTCTCATTCACAATATCGAGACATTATACCATTTTATTAGTTGAAGAAGAAAGTCATACCTGCTGTTTATTATATTACCCCTTCTCTCTCAATAGAAAGTGCCCATAAAAAGTGGGTAATATAGATAGGATATTTGTGTTGTATCGAAGAGTCAGTAAACTTTTTATTTCTTGTCCCCCATGCTCTTCTTACAGTCTTACATGCTCTCCAATGCTCCTCGGTGCTCTTCTTTTGCTCCTCACCGGGGGCAATAATCGTAAAAATTTAGAATGGGGTTTTAATGAGTTGACAGGACAGGCACATACTCAAACACCATTCATATTTTTAGTTTCTGAAGATTTTGAGTCTGTCAACTGAAGTCAGCCGTTTTTGCTCTAAAATTTCGTTTCAGTTTACTGGATTCGGAACCCCGATGGGAGCCCCAATGACCACGCCCATTTTTATGCGGCCATTTGGGTAAATGGCTTTAGAGCAGTGAAATGGCAGAGGAAGGAAGAGAAAGAGAATATAAAATTAAAGTACCCAATCAAAACTTTATCGGCCATCACATTTCCTTAGTATCTCCAGTATCGGGGCGTTGGTGCCTCCTCTTTTTGCCCGAAATCAGAGTTCTGTAAAAAGGAAATACAGAGAGAAAAAAGATGAAGAGTTCCCAGAGAAATGTCGTAAGGAATCCTCATTTAGATAGGTCCTCGTATTTCTTCTCTGTCTCTCCGTTTTCCATATATTTATGGGTTTAGATCGGTTAATGATACTGTCTCCTTTCTCTCTCTCCCTGAATTTAACGATCTCTTCCCTCTCGTTTTATGAAAATGGTCCAGTTAATGTCTGCGTTTCTCTATTCGATATAATCTAAAAACCAATCCAAATACCAATACCATTTGGCATTATTCCAAATTATTGTCGTAATGGAAGAAGTCTTTTTCCCAACCCCAAAACCCTCCCAGCCACCTTCTTTGTACTGTATTAGAAAAATAGGGGAGAAATTTTGTTAGGAGAGAGCATGTGAGACATTGAGACGCAGAGTCTCACTTGATGCTGCTGTGCTCAAGTGAGCAATTGAAAGTGGTCTTTGAGAAGAGTACGGAATAGGAGACTGAGGAGGGCACACTGTATTTTCTGGCGAAACACTCACCTCAATCTTGAATTCGAGGGTTGGCTCTTATGATTTGGTTTTCGATTTCTCTTTCATTCTAGCCCCCTTCAGAACATTCAGAGGCTCCTTCTTTTCCGTTTCTAATTATACAACAGTTGCCACGTCATAACATTTATACAATGGATCAGTATTGTTTGATGCCTGTTTGCTTCTGCATAGACACCATGCTTCTCTCTTGTTGTCCTATAAATATTCATTAGTTACACACGGACACCTCTAGTTGCTTCTTCTTCTTCTTCTTCTTCTTCTTCTTCTTCTTTTTCTTCTTCTTGGTTCTTCTACCCAACTACTTCTTTCAAAACTCTCCAGAAGCGTGAAAAAATCGTCTGCTCCCACATTCAGTATATCAGCTCGACTATTCAACCGCACTCAAACTTGTTCACTGTAGCGCCGTGAAATTCGATTTGGGCCCTCACTTCTGATGTACGGCGGAGTACCTGTAGAGAATCTGGTGGCGGGCGATGGGTTCAACGACCCAAAAGGGTTCCTTCCTTAGTTTTGAGAGTGGGGAAAATTGGTGGGATAATCAAATTAGCACTCGGGCGGCTGGATTTTTGGATATAAGTGCCCGCTCAGGACCGCCTGTGTCAGCATCATCACCAGATTTTATCTTCCCGAGAGATACACGATAATCATTTTCTGCCCCGTCAAATTTATATTCTAATTGTTGATTCGATCATCGAATTTGTGATTTTTGCGCACCGCCTCACCGATATTGATATATTCATTCGGGTGAATGAGTATATACATTTTTAGATGATGAGTAGGCTGTGTCATTTTAGAACCTCCCGAGTGTCTGGCCAATTTTACCCTCCCTTAGTTATCTTTTTGTTAAGAAGACTAGCTGAATTCTAAAGAAGTCTACAATTTAGAGCCGTTCTCTAATAGACTGACGATGTTCCAAGGAATACATATAAAATTCCATAACTACAAAACTACCGTAATCCTTGTTTTTCAAAATACATTTATCAGTGCTGATTCACAAAACAAAGATTAGTTGCTTTTCGTTTTCTTTTTACTTTTGGTGTATATCGCTTTTCGTCGGACCTACGTCTTTGCATATATTTTGAAAGGTTTCTTTTCTTAATCCCAACAATCGCAACCATTCAGCTCGACACTCCTAGAATTTTCTTCCGCTCCCACACACGATTCATGTTATCATTTCTTATCTAAACGTCAGTCATTCTAGTGTATTCGTACTACAAAAGGACCATATGTGTAGATTTGTTAATCCGATAAGACAAGGTGCTAGCGGAAACAACAGACGATTTTTGAACACATGGTCAAATCGGTTTGAGGAGAGAATGGCGGAAGGGGGAGAGTCGTCCGTCCAAATTAGCGGCATCATCATCACCCACAACATTCCGCGAATTATTTCTTTCAATTACTCCTTCGTTTTTCTATTCCCATTCCATCTGAATTCACCCCCACCCACCAATCGATTGCCAACGGAACTGTCACTTTGGATGAGACTCACCCCTTTTTAAAATACGATACTATTTGGGAATGTCTATACAGAAGACCCCTTTTTTGGAAGAGATGCTTCAACCATTTTTCATGATTCTACAATAAGGATGAGAATAGAAAATAAGGGCGAACGAAGACGAGTTGGAAGACCATAAAAATCCACTTCATCCCAGATTTAATGGTTCTTCTTTTTTCTTCTTTCGTTTCTTTTCTTCCCCATCTCCACCCTAATGACTTTCAACTATGTATTTTTATTCGCGCGCTCCCTGCTTCTCTAATCTCTCTTTGGCTCATTAACTCTCTTTGTTTATTGCGAGGACATTTGAATTTTATGAGAAACAGAAAAGAGTCTCTTCTTTTTTCCTCATATTCCATCCTTCTTAATGTCGTCGTCGTCGTTGATGCCGTTGTCGTAAACGCAGCTTCTTGCGATTTCAGACCGAGAAAAATACATCACATCGTTTGGGTTTAATTTAATGACACTCTCGAATTTCAGATGAGCTCTCAAAGCTTTGTCATCAGTTCATCTTCGACAACGACACCAAGTGGAAGCAAAGGATTCATGCATATCCCAGCAGAACTTTTCGATCAGGTCGATGCACATCTTTCTGTAGAGGACTCGGCTAGCTTCAAGGTATGTGTAATGTGTCAGTACCGACACCGGATATGATGATGATGATTGACATCATAATCACATTGTCATTCATTTTCCTCCTCAATTCGTTTCTTTTTTCAGTCAGTTCATCCACTCATTGACATCCGATTGACCAGCAATTTGACTCCATACGACAAACTTCATGTGAGTTCTTAGAAATTGTATGCAAGTTATTCAAAATCTTAATTTGCAGTTGAGTGATGACCAAGATGAGTGCTGGATCTCTGACACCCGTGGACGTGCCGCTCCCAGAAAGTTCCAAGCCAACAACATCTCAGCTCTGATCCGTTCTCTTACTAATTTGAGAGAGATTACTATCATCATGAAAGATGTGAGCATCAGAAATGCACAATCTTTGGAACAGAAGATTAATCTCACTGGTTAGTATCTCTTATCCAAAAAAAACATTATCTAAATAACTTTATTCCAGAATGCACACCATATACTCCAAGTGGATATTTGGGAAAATTGTTCGAAGGAATCTCTCCAGCGGAACTCAACCTGAGACAGCTCTCAATCCATGTCGACATCATGGTCGAGTCTCTTCAAGATGTCTACCACCTGATGTGCCCAACTGCAGACCTCCACTATTCCATGAATGAGCTTGCCAATGCCAGTTTCAACTCGTTTGTCCAGGTGAGTACTATTTGCAAATGACATAACTTTGAAAAATAGAAACAAAACTCTTATTGTTGAATTTTCAGATCTCGATTTGCTGTGCTCAAATTCGTCCAACCGATGAGATGCCCCGCAACAACCTCCTTGTTGGAATGCAACATGCTCTGAAGTATTATCACGAACAAGGAGTCAAGACTGAGTTTGTGATCGAGCCGTGTGAGGGATACGTCGATATGACTGTCGAGAGAGGAAACGTCGAGTACTCGTTCGCCTTCTTCTACTACAACCCAACAATCTGTGATCCAACTCCAGAAGACATGGACGTGGATACCAAAGTTGATGAGTCAATGGAATAAACGTTTCATATCATTTTCTCTAATTGTAAAATCTAAAAACCTCAAAAAACTGATCTTCCCATCTGCAAAAACATTCTAGTCTCCTGTTTCACCAATAGTAACTTCTCGAACCAGTTTAATACCCATAAAAATCCCAAAAAATTCCAGTCTCTTCTTCTCATATTTCTCGATCATCTACGGGTAGTGCACCTCATTCATTTTTCCATTAATTAATGCCCTATTCTTGAGATTCTCTGGATAAAAATTTTAATTTAGGGCTCAGATTTTGAAAAAAAAATTCTTTTTTTTCTCATCATTCATCTTCTTAATAAATATTAGATGTTCTATTGTATCCTATTCTGATCTTCGCTGATTTAATAAACTTTTTTTGATTGATTTCCTCAAGAAAATGAGATTCTGTCAAATATGAAAACATTTCTAATGATTGACTTTGTGGTGAAAATTGTATGGTGTAGATCAAATAGCTACCAAAAAAAATTTGAAGCGGTTTGGAAGACTTGCTCTTCAGATGTGCTCACTGAAGCATAAAAGGTACGATTCAGGAGTTTGGCTATCACTCGGCTCGAAATGATCCAATTTTTCTCAGATTTTGAGAGGATGTGTGTCTTTAATTGCTCTACAATATACATACAAAACTTTGTATTTTGAGAACAAAATTGTTTTCCTAATTTTTTCCTTTTTGTGTACCAAAAACGGGTAGAACAAACAAGCAAAACTTTTTGTTCCCAAAATACAAAGTTTTGTATGTATATTGTAGAACAGTTGTAGACACATTCTCTCAAAATTTGAGCAAAATTGGATCATTTCGAGCCGAGTGATAGCCAAACTCCTGAACCATACCTCTTATGCTCCAGTGAGCACATCTCAAGAGCAAGTGTTCCATACCGCTTCGAATTTTTTGGTATACACTGCGCGCCATAATTATAGAGCCACTTCAATTTTTGTAATTTTTCTGATATCCATGAAAGTTTCAGAATCCTTTCCGATGGTGATAAATATCATTTTTGAATCTGAAAATGTAAAGAACATTCAATTATAGATAGTGAAGCAACGGTTTGAAAAAAATCAAAAATGTCAAAAAAAGCAATTTTTCACTGCGCCATAATTATGGAGCCACTTCAAAGATTTTGCCATCATCACAATTTGTTCACTGTAAAAAGCTGATATTCAGATTTTCCACTAAAAATTGATGTTTCCAAATCAATTTCCAAACTGATTTCAGTAGAAAAATTTCCTGTTATAAATGATTTCCGAAATTTTTTTCACAAAAATGGAGTTTGCAAAAAACACTTTTGATTTTTCCAAATTTTTTTTCAGGATTATATAAGGTTTGTCAGATTGTTTATAAGAACCTGTTAAACATTATCGAATGCATTATTTAGTCTACCAAAGCGCGTAAAGTACTGATCAAAAGGTGCAAACGTTAATCATATGAGTTTATTGAAGCTAACTTAAGGTAAGTCGAAAATATAGTAAATATGACGGAATACATTTGAAGCTTCTCAGATTTATTTACCATAAATAGAGCTTTAATTTCTTAGTTGGCAAGTTTTTATCATGACTCCATCCAAAAAAGTTATTTTGCTCCGACGGGTCGCGAATGTTAACTCAGAACTCTCATCTGCAGTTTTGCGCTTCTTCTTCGTTTCCAGAGGTGTATCTTATTTGTATGAATATGTATACAATAGTTGTCAACAGAAAAAATAAAGCTCTATTTTTGTTTTATATCTCTAGGAATTTTCAACCCTATACGACAAAGTATGTTACTTTTTCCAAACTCTCAAACATGGTGTTTTTTCAACTAAGAAAATGTCAGTATATTACTTTTGTTCTACAAACATACATTGTCGTATAGGGTTGAAAATTTCTAGAAAACATTTCCAAAAATAGATCTTCATTTTTGTAGTTGATAACTTTTTTGTACAAATTTATACAAACGAGATACAGCTCTAGAAACAAAAGAAGCGAGAACTGCAGATGACAGTTCTGAGTTAACGTTCGCGACACGTCGGAGCAAAATAACTTTTTTGGATGGAGTCGTGATAAAAACTTGCCAACTAAGAAATTAAAGCTCTATTTATGGTAAATAAATCTGAGAAGCTTCAAATGTATTCCGTCATATTTACTATATTTTCGACTTACCTTAAGTTAGCTTCAATAAACTCATATGATTAACGTTTGCACCTTTTGATCAGTACTTTACGCGCTTTGGTAACTCCCAAATCTTTCGATCTCGTAGAGTTTCAAAATTCTGATGCCTTGATGATTTTCATACGGAACGACATTAGATTAGCTTATTAAAGAAGGGTCGGAGCCTCTGACTCTTCAAAATACAAATCAAAATTTTCCAATTTTATTCTTTTTTTGCTGAATCAAAATTTTGATTGAGTTCTTCATATCGAATCCGGTCAAGTATCGACATACAGTGGCGAACATTAGTGAGTGTCACTCTATACTTTTGTTCATGACTTTGCTCAAACTTGTCCAATAATCGAAAACTTTTTTGTTAAAAAATTTCCGTCAGAATTATTTTAAAAATTGGCTTTGTGATGAAAAATGTTTCGTGTAGATCAAATATACACTGCGCGCCATAATTATAGAGCCACTTCAATTTTTGTAATTTTTCTGATATCCATGAAAGTTTCAGAATCCTTTCCGATGGTGATAAATATCATTTTTGAATCTGAAAATGTAAAGAACATTCAATTATAGATAGTGAAGCAACGGTTTGAAAAAAATGAAAAATGTCAAAAAAAGCAATTTTTCACTGCGCCATAATTATGGAGCCACTTCAAAAATTTTGCCATCATCACAATTTGTTCACTTTAAAAAGCTGATATTCAGATTTTCCGCTAAAAATTGATGTTTCCAAATCAATTTCCAAACTGATTTCAGTAGAAAAATTTCCTGTTATAAATGATTTTCGAAATTTTTTTCACAAAAAATGGAGTTTGCTTAATCTGGGACAAAAAATTGTCAAAAAAGACACTTTCTGTGATCCAATTATCAGCCTTGTTTTACCTTTTTACTATCGAAAAAAACCACAAAAAATCGGTCAAGTTGGTGTTGATGGGAAGGGGTTGCGAACCGTGAGGAACGCGGGGTTGTTCCACAGACAGATGTCTGAAGAACGGTTCTCCTGCAAGCAGAAGATTTCGACTGATAACCCATCAACGCCGGACCGTGAAACGAAGAGAAATAGAAGGGGTATATATACTGGTGGGTGGGGGAGCGGCCGACATTTCACGGCATTGATGTCAAAAAATTGGAACGGATTTCGCAATAACTACTTAGTCTGTTTCTCGACGCAATTCTTGTTGAGAACCAAATTTCTTTGGAAATCTTGTTCAAAGTCCATAAAAATCAATCCGTTCTCAAAAAAGCAAAAACATTCTGTTTGAACAAATTTATGTGAAATTCTAATACAAGTTTTACGGTCTTTGGATTTTTATACAGTATTCATCTTCTTGAACTGACTGACAAATCATTTTTGATATTATAATTCGTCAGTCGACCTCTTTTTGATATATTTCTCAGGAGATAAGGGAAATGAGTTCAAAGTGGACGGTTTGGGGAAGTTTTCTGTATTCGAGTACAATATATCGTCCGTAGATCGTCCTTTCTCTAGTCAATTGTAGTCTAAAGTGATCGAGAAACTGTTTGACGATCTGCGTCTCCTACTGTTAAATATATTTAACCCTTTACACTACGAAAATCACTAAAAACATAGTTTCCTTTTCCTAAAAGAACCGTCTTGTCCATTTCTGTTATCTCCTGGAACAGATAAAAAGAACAGCCTTTTGCTGATATCAGTTATTGATCATTTGCACAACAAGTGTATCATTCTCTAGAAAATGACCATAATTATTCCTATAATATTTGGAATGGTTCTGATCTATTTGTCGACGTGGATACCTACACTTCGGAAGTTCAGAAGACATTGGAGATATGGAAATAAGGTGAGTTGTTTTCTGTTTATCTGGAAATTTAGATTCCGATTATTAACCTAAAAATTCACCTTAAAGGAGGCCAGACACCAAAAAAAGAAGTTTTCCTGATATTTTGCAGAGAGAACCCCCATGAGGGGTTGAACTCATGACAGGCAGCTCAGGGGTACAGCGCCGCTACCGGCTGAGCTACGGGGGCGCGAAGGCGCCTGACGACCGATGGTCTACATAAGCGCGGCGCGATTTCGTCCCCCGAATTGCCCCCGAAATTTTTGCTGTCTCGCCTCCTTTAAATTTTTTCATGAATTTCCTACCCTTTTTTCAGATGCCAGGACCTCCTGCCCATCCGATATACGGAAACCTTGGACCGATTGTCGGCCTCAACACAGAGGGTAAGTGAAACATGTACTTTGTGTCTAATGGTCTGCGCCATTCCTCCGTCAATGCAGAAATATGTAGTCCATCGGAAACTATGTTTTCCGTGCCGTCGATAGCTCAGTTGGTAGAGCGGAGGACTGTAGCAGTCAGTGGTTATCCTTAGGTCGCTGGTTCGAATCCGGCTCGACGGAATTCTTTTTTTTGTTTTTCAGATCTTCCCGCAGTGTTCATCAATTGGGCTGCTGAACAACGGGACAAAGGAAACTCTATCATGAGAGTCATGTTGTTGGGAACTGTATACGTCTGGCCATTGAATGGAAAAGCAGCTGCAGCTATTGTGGATTCAACTACTGAAACTAATAAAGGAGACGATTACGAATTTTTTAGTCCATGGTTGGGAGGAGGTCTTCTTCTAGAAGGGTATGGAGAACGGTGGCGAAGTCATCGGAAAATGTTGACTCCAGCATTCCATTTTGCAAAGTTGGGAGGATATTTTGAAGTTTTCAACAATGAGGCAAAGGTGAGTGAAAATAACGATTCTTGAAACTCTAAAAATTAATTTTCAGATCATGGTTGATTTGTTGAGTGATTTCTGTGATTCTGGAAAAACTGTTGACATATTCCCTTATGTAAAACGATGTGCATTGGATATCATTTCCGAAACTGCAATGGGAATCAAAATAGATGCTCAGATGAACCATGATCATAAATATGTACAAGCTGTGGAAGGATTCAACAAGATTGGTGTCCTCGTTTCATTCAATCCACATCTCAAAAATCCTTTCATTTTCTGGGCAACTGGATACAAAGCTCAATATGATGACTATCTGCACACTTTGAAAAATTTCACTGAAAAAGTTATCAAAGAAAGAAGAGCCGCTCATGAATCAGGAGAAATTGAGGTGGAGAAATCGAAAAGAATGATGAACTTTTTGGATTTGATGTTGAGTATGGAGGAAGCGAATCAGTTAACATCTGAAGATATTCGACAGGAAGTTGATACTTTTATGTTTGCTGGACACGATACAACAACTTCTTCCACATCATGGGCATGTTGGAATATGGCTCATCACCCAGATGTTCAAGAAAAAGTGTACAAAGAAATGATGGAAGTATTCGGAGATGATCCAAGTACAGATATAACACTGGAGAATTTGGGAAAATTGAGTTATTTGGATCGAGTTTTGAAAGAATCAAAAAGAATTATTCCACCAGTTCCGGCGTTGCAAAGAAAGTTGACAAATGACTTAGAAATTGGTAATTTCTAAAATATCTTGAATCAAAGCAATATGACATTTTCAGACGGTTACACGGTTCCTGCTGGAGGAAATGTTACGATTTCTCCAATGGTACTTCATAGCAATCATCTTGTATTTGATAATCCAGAAAAATTCGATCCCGACCGTTTTCTCCCGGATGAAGTTTCCAAACGTCATCCCTATGATTTCATGCCCTTCTTGGCAGGACCACGTAACTGTATTGGACAAAAGTTTGCTCAATTGAACGAGAAAGTTATGCTTTGTCATATTATAAGAAACTTTAAAATCGAACCAACACTCGGATACAAAGACACAAAGCAGTGTTTGGAGGTAGTTACAAAACCATCCAAAGGAATACCTGTTCGTCTGGTTCGCAAGATCTAGAACCTTATTCTGTCCTTTTTTCACCAATTCTTTTTTGCCCAATTCAATAAACGTTTCTCTTCGAAAGCCAGTAATTGTTTTCTCTCCGGTGATTACCACCCATTCCATCACTGTCGTCATTATCGTGTCCCTTGGAAACAGTAGCAATTATGACCGCTTTACTGGATAGCTGTCCGCGAGGGAAGACCGGCTCGTCAGAGTGTACTAGACAAAAGCTATAAAACGGATGGGACAGGCAATTATTGTCTGTTCACATATTCGTGTTTTTGACGTTTTCAGTCGTTTTTGATTTTATGTGATTACCGATAAAAATATAAGAAACATAACGTAAAACCTGTAATAGAAGGGCCTTTTTTTTCTTATATTGAGTCAACTTTTTTTTTCTAATATTGAGTCAACTTTTTTTCCTAATATTGAGTCAAAATTTCTAATATTGAGTCAACTTTTTTCTGGCACAATTTTGATATATTGCATATGAATCGAGATAATTGAGCTCAAGGTTTTACAATATTTTAGTCTTTTTTAATTCAGAACTTTTGACTATTCTGCTGGTACGAAATAATCGGAGCCGTTTAAGGAATAAATTGTTTTTTTTTTACTTTTCTATCAGAAAATAAATGTTGAAATTAAATATATTTTAGGTTACGGTAGTTGTCGTTGTGGTACCTTCGCCCAAGACAACCGGCATTTCTCGTCCAATGCTTCAATTTTTCGTACCAGCATAATTCCCCTATACTTCATTTTTTAACTGTTATCCCCTTTTAAACCGTACCCCAAAACCAACTGTATCCGAAAATATTCTAAACAGGTTTTTAATTCTAATCTCAAAAATCATTTGGCAAACGGGTAAATTCAGGGAAATTGTGTCCTTTCCCATATACCAACGAATCGAATCTTATCTTTGGATTATATTTGTGTAGCGTCAAGATAAGATTGGTTTCTTTTGTTTAGATGGTCGATAGAATTAGTATTTTTGTATTTCAAACTAGAAAAGAATATTCTTGCAAATGATTCACATATTTTGGTCTCATTATGTTGTTTACCTGGTAAACAATACACATTTGTAGCTTCTGTGAATCAAAAGACACTACATTAAACGATATTAGTCATACCTATCCGTTGTATGTGATGTATTGATATCATTCAATCCCTCTCTCATTCACCACTTTTAGTGCCTCACATCACAAAACAATCCGGTTCTTTCAGACACACCTCTGTCTTTAAATGACGACGGTCCGTCGTGCATTTCCACCTCTCTTCGTTGATTTCTTAGAGTGTGTTCATGTAATTCACTTCACGATTCGATACATATCCGCTTTCCTTGTTTTCGTATGTCTTCTTTCTGGTCGATCGCAGGTCGCAGTATCTGTGTATATCTACGGGTATCATCATCATCTTCTCGTCAACCGATAACCCCATTTTGAATAAAAGAGAGAATCGAGGGTCTCTTCTCTAGCGTCTCATTTTGATTGTTTGCCCTCCAGTCCTTGCCGTCTCTTCTACATTTTCCATTGTCAATCGAACAGCCTCTTTTAAATATTACATAAACTTTCAGGTGATGCTCGTCCTCACCGTTTTCGCTGCTACCATGGCGGTAAGTTACGAAAACTGTGGTTTATGTCGATTGATAATCCCAGAAATCTAGACTACAAACCTCGATTTTTTGACCGGTCAGAAAGTGACGTCTTTCAGCTAGCCATGGCCCAGGATTGCTCTTCTCCAGCTGGAACTCGTGCTTCGTTTGGGGCATACCTGCAGTGTATCAAAGAGGGACTTGACGCAGATTACGGAAACTATGAAAACGAGATCCGCGAGCACTCCAAGTACGTTTCAACTCGGAGCAAAAAGTAGAGAAGTAGATTATGAATCTTCAGGAAAGCCGCTACCGCTTGTTTCGCTTCATCTATCGAGGAAGGTAACCAAAAGGATCGTTGCGTCTTGGCTGCCAGTGATTTGTCTCACAATGCTTGGGATAAGAACGGTCCATTGAGAGAGTGCTCCATCTGCAGAACATTCGCTGCTGGAGCCATCAAGGCTATCAAGGCTACCCCAGCTGAGGACCAAAAGTGTATCAGAACTGAGGTTTCGAAGGCTATCGCTCGCGAGGCTGCCTATTGTCTTCAAAAGAAGATTCCAAACTTCGCAGGAGTTCCAGAGATTCCAGATCTGGAGGAAGGATCCTTCCAATACAAAGACTCTGTGTAAGTGATCAAATGGAATTCAAAGATCATAATATCACTTCTCTTCAGCATCTCCTCCATCTCTGACCACATCCTTATCCAATCTCGTCTTTCTTTCTGCGGAGAACGAAAGCCACAACGTGCCGCTTCCACCCGTGCTTGTCTCGCTAGTCCATTTGTCGGATATTTGAGTGGACACTGCAAGGTTCTCGCCAGCTGCGATGCCAAATTCTCTGGACAATGTGCCCAAACTATCCCAGCCACTCGCAAGGCCACCTGTGAATGCATCACTGAAGCTAGAGATGACTTGAAGAAGCGTATTGGATCTATCGCCAACGTTTTCAATGATGTGAGAATAGAAATCAATAGAGTTTTCAGTTAACCATTCTATTTCAGCTTCTCTCCGGTGGACGTGGACTTGCCATCGGATCCGCTAACAAAGTTGATATCTGCACTTCCCAGATTAAGAAGCAAATGGTTACTCCAGTTAATGACTGGGTCAATGTCATTGATACCGCTCTCTCCTCATGCATCCGTAACAAGCCAGCTGGACAGAATCTCGCCATGGAGGCTCTTCTCAATGTTGGATGCCGTAAAGTCATTGCTGACACTACTGGAGCTGCCACTTCTCAACTCAAAACTGGGTTCGATTTTGTCAACAATTTGATCGATGCTATGGTTCAACGCAGTGGACGCTTCTGTGGTGGAAGCTATTGCCTTCAGGGATAGGATTCTATTTTGAACTTCTCAAACTTCTAACTATATTTCAACCTATATTATTTATTAATTCTCTAAACGTGTATGATACTTTATTCAACTTTCCAAATAAATAATAAGACATAGAAAAGGTTACTTGCCAAAATGGAAAATTGGGTGATCAATGAAATCGGCAACACAGGCAGTTGTGCTTGTACAAGCATCTGTAGCACCTTCCAATTCTACCATCATCACCAGATTATCTCCAACTTTCAAATACTCCGCAGGTATGTACAAAGTCATTTGTGGACCTTCTGTTGGCCAGTATCTTCCAAGATTCCTTCCGTTCACAATTGCAATACCCTTTCCCCATCCAGTAGTATCCAACCACGTGTCAGCTGCTGCTTCCACTTCGAGAACACCGACAAAGACACCTTGCTTTTGATTATCTTTGGATAACTTATTTCTTAGAATTTTCTTCATGGCTTTTCGGTTGTAGTCCTGACTTTCTTCTGATTGAATTGGAAGTTTGATTCCACACTGCGTCCAAAAATGAACAGCTTCCCCATTCAAATACACTTCAGAGAGGATTCCCTAAAAAACTTTTGGTGTTAGTTTGGATTGAGAAGAATCAAATTATACTTTTCTATCATTGATTGTTTCGAAAGTTTGTCTGCCTTGGTTTTCTACCAACAAAAATAGTCGATCCTCTCCATCATTTCTGCACCCTCCGAGGATCACCGAACTGCGCGTCAAGTTGTAATATCGGCGAGTGAGAGTGTCAATATATTTTCCATTAAGATACACATAAACAAAATCACCAAACGATGGAATTGTGAGATTTCCACAGGAATTGATTTTCTGAAATTAAAACATTTTCATTGGCAGCATCGAATTCAAAACTTACTGATTGATAAGCAATTAATCCTAGAAAATGTTTCATTTTCTCAAAACTGAGTGGTCTTTCAGAATCAACACAATCTCCTGGATCGGTGAAGTCTCCCATGAATCCATTCCCATTAGAATTCCCATTTGAGTGGGCCAATCTCATTTTGATCTTCCCATATCTTGCTTTTCTAAAAATCAGCATGCATTGAGTTTTATCCACGAATCAAACATACGGAGAATTTCCGGGTACATCCAGTGGTGGAGTTGTCCAATCCGTCAATCCTTTGATCCATTTTCTGATTTCTAAATATTTTGCAGTCACATCTCCTGCCTCACTAATTGGAGCATCATAATCATAGGAAGAAATACAAGGTGCTTCAGTTTCAGCTCCATTCCAAAATCCAAAATTTGTTCCTCCATGAATCATATAAAAATTCATGCTGGCTCCGAGGGAGTACATTGTTTGAGCACCATTGATAATTGTTTGTGGAGATGGGAGATCTTGTCTCTTTTGTCCCCAAAGTACCAGCCAACCTGGATAATATTCCGAATTCACGAATGGCGCATTTGGAGCATATTTTCGTTGAATTTGAAAATACGATTCGATGTCTTTTTTGTTATCCGTTGGCCCAAAATCAACAGTGGGAAACACACCCTCAACAGTTCCACATTTCAAGAGTTTTTCAGAAGCTCCATCGGCTGAAAATTAAACTGTTCGGATAGGAGTCTTCCAATACATATCACTCACTAGTGAACAAAAGCACGTCATCTCCAACATGAGCTCTGGTCAGATCTCTCAAGAATCGGAGATACTGTTTGTCACAGACGCCATAACTACCGTACTCGTTCTCAATTTGTAGCATCAGAACAGGACCTCCGTTCTTTCGAAGAAGAGGTTTGACACGTGGCAGTAAGGTTTCGAACCATTTCTCGACTTCGCGGGTGAATCTGAACAATTGGAATGGTTCTTATAACAATTTCAAAGCATTATAAATACTTTTTATAGAGAATTACTTCAACGTCTGTAATGGAAGGGCCCCCACATTGTCAAGTTGGATCTCACCTATCTCAATTCCTACACAAGAAATGGAAAATGTGTAAACAAATAAAATTTGTGCGATATTATAATAAAAATTTTTTGTTGACAACTTTTTCATCTCTTTAACAGGAACCGAGAAAAATTGGCTTAAAGTTTAGAGGCCCTTCTATAACAGTTTTTACGGTAATAGAGACTCACACAGGATCACTACTCCTTTGTTTGGTGACATTCTTATTCAGAAGCCATGCTGGGAGACCTCCGTTTTCCCATTCTCCGCAGATGTAAGGACCTGGAATTTTTATTTGAAAATTATTGACCATAAATATCATACCAATTCTTAAAATAGTCCACAGGTTGTACTTATGAAATGCCATGGATGAGAATTCGGCGAAATCCAGGATTCCAGAAAAGTCATGACTGAAAATGAAGTTTTATTATGAGCTAGTTTCTCATGATCTCAGTACTCACTTCCCTTCTTCCAGTTCATGAGCGTTCCATGGGATGTAATATTGAATTGCGTTGAATCCAAGAGCACGAACTTTTCCGAGCCGTTCTTCCCATCTCTCCCGCGGAATTCGGAAGTAGTGAATGGATCCGGAAATGTAACGGAACGGAAGGCCATCGAGAAGAAATTGATTTTTCGATTCATCGATCAAGAATGATGGGGTGTTTCTTCAAATTGTTTATTTTTTCTTTTCTTGGAGACTACCGTCTACACTCTTAAGGAAGTACTCTCAACTTACATCTGTTAGCCTATTTATCTCGGTTCCTGAAACATATATCAAAAAGTGGTTAACTGACAAACTATTACTGATATTATGCTGTTTTTCTATATTTGGTTCAGGAACCGAGATATGTTGGCTCAAAGTGAAAGTATAAGGTGGCCTTCTAATAGAGTGTTTCCTGCATGTAAATTTGGTGAAACTACTAGTATTATTGTAGTAAAAAGAAATCGGAGCTGTGGAAATGAAACACCGGTGGCCGGAGGGCTCACAACGACAACTACCGTAACCTAAAAATGTTTCATTTTCCGAATTTATTTTCTTGTTTTCCACTGATTTTCGCCGATTTTCTGTTATTTTTCCTCGAAAAAGTCGAAAAATTAAAATTTTGACAGTAAAAAATTGGCTGAAAACGAAAAAGATGTAGGTTACGGTAGTTTTCGCTGTGGGACTTTCACCACACCTCCGATTTTTGGTACCAGAACAATGAACAGCTTGGAAAAAAATATTCACCCATCTCCGATCCTCTCCAAATTCCAGTTTCCATAGCTCGTCCTCACTAAACCATTAGTAGAAATCAATAGATTCAGAGTAATGAAAAGCCACGTTGTCCATAGGTTCATCTGAAAATGTACAACGAATTCAGGAGAACTGAAACTAAAAACAATCAGAAGCTGTATAGTGAAAAATGTGGAATTGAAAACACGATTGCTATTTGAAAATGGGAGGTTGATTCTATTGATAAACATAATGAAGTAACAAATAGAAATTGCGAAGAAAAAAAGAAAGAAGAAGAAACATAAAAATGCCCAGAATATCTTTTTTCTCTCCTGAATACCAAGAGGCATCATTTCTCCGACAACTTTTCAATCATTTTGTCAACTGTCCTCCCGGCCATCTCGCCTCGTTTGCTGTAAACCACATTTTTTGTAAACAACTAGGATCCATCTTCTGGAGGATTGATTCGATTTATTTTGAACATGTGCCAAAATGTTCGAAGATTAAAAAAGAAATGACAGAATGGAAATGGGGAGTACATTGATAGAATGTTGATGGGTAGTTGAGGGATTAAAATGACACAGAGATCATGGACGAGTAAAATCAATTTAGAAGCGGTTATATCCAGAGCCGTTGCCGAATGGTCCGCTTGGATTGACTGGCCCTCCAAACGGCATGTTTCTTTGTTGTTGTTGCTGCTGATTGAATCCTCCTTCTGAAAAAAAACAGAGATATAATTTATTCAGATGAACGCAAGCTCACGTTGTTGTTGTTGCTTCTCGTTTTGTCCAGCAAGTGCGTCGTGGATGAGATTCATAATACGGTTCTGAAGTTGATCGACGAGAGCAGCATCCTGAATCTGCTCCATTTTTCTCCAGATCATCTTTCCGAACAACTCGTGAATGTTGCTGTTCTTTCCGAATCCTGGAACCTCCATAGCAGATGATTCGGGTCCTCCGAAAGATTGCTGAAATTAGAATATAAGAATTCGTTGTTCTCAACAGAAAACTTACATTCATGTTAGCTCCGATAGCACCTTGTCCCACATTGTTAGCCGATGGTCCATTGTATCCTGAAAATGAAATATTGAAATTACGAAAGATGGCTATGACGATGTGATTAGCTAACCTATTAGTGACTACACTACACTGATTGATTTTTTTTTTTGCAAAAAGTTTCCGTTGCTTCGGGGACACTACAACGACAAAGAGAGCCACGATTTTTATTCGCAGTTAATGTTTATGAAGAGATGATAGCAATGACAAATTGCAGAATTGTCAGAACGTCCCATTGTTATGAGACAACGACATGGGTGAACAATTATTGCAACGATTAATTTGATTGAAACAAATAGCTTTGATGATCGATGATCTGATCTAGCGAAATCTGATAGATACTAATTTTCTCAAATGTCGGAGCGTCCCCATGAAAACAACATGTTGTGAATTTTGTCAAAAGTTATCATTTCTTCCCCGTTTGAAAAGAAGGTAAGAAAAACAAATGAAAGAGTTGACACTCTTTTTGTTAGGAAATTCAACTAGACCTGAAGGTGGTGCTCCATTTCTATTTCCGTTGTTCTGCAAACATCTTGTTCATTACACACGTTGACTGAAGATGATCGCTTATGAGCGAGATTGAGACGTAGAATGAGACCGTCACACACTATTTATGATTCCAGTCACAGTCACTACAGTTTCCCAATAGATTTTGAGAAGCGTGGCTTCCAATGAGAAATCAATAAATGGGTTGAAATTTAAAAAGATGTTTTTAGCATCACAAAACTTGGAGCCCAAAACTATTTTCTTTTTTTTTAAATTCAAGAATTTTTCAAAATCCCGACACTCTGAGAAGAGTATGACTACTATTAGTCGATAAGCATTCTGAAACAATAGAAAATATAGAAAAATCCACAAAACACAGGATGATTAGAGCCATGTAACGATAAATCGCCTGAAGAATAGGATGCATTTGGAAAAACGAGGAATAAATCCCGGAAAACAACGCATGTCCAGGACATGATGTCCTTGGCAGTGATAATTATAAAACAAAGCTTCGAGCCAGTCACTGACGAATATCGGAAATCTTTTACGAGAAAAAAAGAAATCATGATTTTTTTCGAAAAAAGATTGATCATTGTCTTCGGCTTTTACACGAGGACGTACGATATATTCCAAACCGGTTAACGCACTGCTCAGTTTATATTAATGAGAGTTGCTAGAATTAGGGAAACTTCGTTCTATCCGAAATAAGATAGTGAAGTAAGGATATTCATTATATATCACTCCCAAGTTGGAAGTCGCAACTAATGCAACTAATTTAAACTAAATGTTCTTTCAGTGAACTGGCTCGAACGCATAACTCTTCTTCCATAATCGCAGTTAGCAATATAATTTTCGAGATATCATATCACTCCTACATACCTTTCCACCACCGTTACGACGGTTCTGTTGTGGTGGACCTTGTTGTCCTGGGAAGTAGTTGAAGTTTCCGTTTGGTGGACCCATGAATGGACCACCTGGTCCTCCTGGACCCATTGGACCGAATGGCGGAACCATTCCCATCATATTTGGATGTTGATGTTGATTACGGTTGTTTTGATTGCGGTTTCCTCCATTTTGGTTGCGATTGTTGTTGTTTTTATTATTCTGTAAAAGTTAGAATGATTACAACACTAGAATCTCAGTAAAACTTACGTTGTTATTGTTGCCTCCTTTTTTCTGGTTGTTTCCAGGCTTCTTATTATTGGCTGGAGCCTGTCTCTTGATTGGCTTTCCGTTGGCGTCGATTCCCATTCCAGACGAACCCATTTCGACGAAGTTTCTGCAAAATAAGGAATTTTGCTACATAAAATGAAGAAGTGAAAGTATATAAGACACGAACGATGTTTTCGCAGCGAACACAAGGAGCCTCCTCCTTCGGAGGCAATCAATACAATATCGCCAATAGAACGCGTCAGCAGGAGACTGCAGAGACATTCGCTGCGAGACCAACCACTAGTAAAACTGAATGCGCCTTGGAACGGCTATTCTCTGGTGAAGAACTGGTAACTGGTGAAGAAGGAATATTGTCGGATTAAAAAAAGTGACACCTGAAAATCTCGGAGACGGCGCTCGTGTCGATTTACGAGGGGGCGGAGCGAAAACGGATACTGTAGATAACAAATTTATTCATGAGAATTTAGTGGGATTTTCTGAACAAAATTTTGATTTCTTGATGTAAAAACGATCGCTAGCATCTCTAGAATCTATTTTTAAGCAAAAAACTAAGATTAAACACGAAAGTAGCTCGAACGAGCCGAAATTCTGAAATATTACGTTTTTGCAGCACTTTTTCGTATATCAAAAAAAGCAAAAGTTTTCAAATTCTCAGGTGTCACTTTTTTAATTCGACAATAAAATGAATGAAAAAGAAATGGGTGATTATGAAGTATGATATTTACAAAGGGAATTTTTTAAAAAATGGGATGCAACTAGATAAATACAGTTGATATTCTGGTTTACTTAAAATATTGTAAAACGGGTAACAGTTAATGATTCAATCACTCCGAGACTGAATAGATAAGGTATATATTTAACAGCTAGGAAAAAAGAAAAGGGAAAATCGGCGAGAAATTCCGATTTTTTTGGAAATACGTTTTTCCGAAATGTACGGTACTTTAAACGCGCATTGGCGATATTTACTACGGATAACAAAATTTTCGTTTTTTATTGCGATATTTTTCGAGTGAAAATCGGTAAAATGTCGGTAATCCAATTTTCCGAAAAAACATTTGGGAAAAAATTAGAATACCTGAATTTCCGAGTATTGCTTCCGCGAACATGCCTGATCGCGCTGTGAGACCCTCCGATTCTACCGCAGTATTTAAAGGAACATTCTCAGGGAAGAATGGGTATCGACACAACATAGCCGCTAAGGATTTATTGTAGGGTTTTTCTCAAAACGGTTTTCTTCTCAATTGAAAGAAAAAAAACCGTTTGTTTTTAAAGTCGGCACTTTTACGTCTGTAACGACGAGCTATTGGGCAAATATGGAAAAAATCAACTCGGAAAGACCGAGTATCATTGATGAAGAATCTTCTTCACCCTCGGTAAAGAAATTCTCAGATTATGATTTTCAAACAATTTTCTTTCAGGCAGAAACATCACCGCAAACCTCAATCATGTTTTCAGCAGTAAACAATAAGACGGATGAAAAACGATATGTGATCGGTAAATTCGGATAGAAAAAATATATTAACTGATTAAGTTCTTCAGAAGGCATTAAAAATCTCATGGCTCTCTCAAGACGTGCCAAGCTGAATGAACGAGAGAATGAGTTTCTTCGCAGTGAAAACCAAGCACTCAGAGAAGAAAATGAGGCATTAATGAAAGAAATTTCTACTAAAACAGTCTCCTCAGAAGATATGATTCTGAACTCCAAAATTGAGGAGCTAGAAATTATTGGAATGCCACCAGACCCTATTGAATCAGAGAAAGAGCGAATACTCCTTCTCAGAGATATTGAAATTCTTCGAGAACGTGTGAAAGAGTTGGAGAATGCTCAAACTGATGTCAACAGAAGCGAGTGTGGAACGCAAGTTGAAGTTCAAGAAGTACTGGCTTCGAATACACTTGAGACGCCAGATATTTATTTTTTGAAGGAAACAGAAGCTATCAAAACATCTGATGTGCCATCCCGAACCGAAGAATCGAATTTTGTTCATGAAAGAGTAAGACATTAGCACTAAAACATAATATTCAAACTATACGGTATATCTAGCCAACTGCCGAGTTCCAAAAGAATAATTTGATGCCACAGATGGAGTCTCGGAAAAAAGAGGTTGCCGCCAGACATGACACATCGAAAGAAGAACAAGAGACTGTAGTTATTTTGATCAAATCTCTAGAAATTGTTAGTAAGTATTTTCACTTCATTCCAATGTTAGTCATTTTAGGAACAAGAAAAGTATCAGTATGCATTGGAAGTCATTCGAACACTGGAAGAAGAAGCTCTGGAAATCAAAAAACTTCGAAAACAAGTCGAGAATCTCAAAAAAGAGAAGACCAGCAATCCGGATGATACACGTCTTCGAAACGAAATCGGCACGCTAATCAAGAACATGGAAGAGTTTTCCGAGGGAAGACGATTCGAAGATCTTCCTGAATCATTCAGATTTGAACCTCCTCCTTACTACTACAGTTCGGATACCTTTTCTAGAACCGTCGATATTTTGAAGACAATTCTGAAAGGTGGACGATTCCCGAACAATATGATAAACGATTTCTGGCGCTCGCTGATTCGACGTGCCGAGCAGATTGAACACGTTATCAGAGACAAGACAGAAAATGCCAAAAAACTCGCAGGAGATGAGATCATCCGTCTGAATGATATTCATGCGAAGGAGAAGAATACTTTCCGCGTCAATCTGCAACTCACCGAGAAACGGCTATCCTATGCTATTCAAGAACTAGAGGAATACAAAAAAACGGCAAATAGTTCGGTTCAGAGTGAGCCCGATTCCCTAAAGTGGAAAATAATTTCAGTTTATTATGGAATTTACTTATTAATTTCAGAACTACAGCATCCACAAATCAAAGCACAGTGATCGATCAAACAAGACTTGAAAAGTTGCCGAAATCATCTCCAATGGTAGGCATAAACTTACATACAAAAATCCGTATTTGAAAGTTCACTTCAAAAGAAAGGCCTCTCTTTTAAATTTATCGTTAAAATTTGAAAAATTCCGTGCGTTTTCAGTGAAAAATAGTCCGGAAATTTCACTATTTCACAGAATTTTTTTGAAACACTCTTTTTGCACAAAAATTTTCCTCAATTTCAGTCAATTGATTTTCATGAATTTTGAAAGTGGATTCACCGAATTTTTCTGGCAGTAAGAAAAAAAATACCCGGAAAAATAGAAGTGCCCCTCTAATTGATAGAACAGCCCTTCGAAGGTACTTTCGAACAATAGAAATGTGGACCCTTCTATTAGGGTTCAACACTGCAGCAAATAAACAATTTCAAGTTCTAATTAATCTTTTCTAGGCTGGCTTCATCCAAAATAACCCAAGTGTTCCGGTGGATAAAGGATGGGTGATGAACAGGTTCATCAGAGGACCAAAGAATACTCCTCATTAACTGTTATTTTTTGCATGATCTCGATTATTGAACTCAATTGTAATATTTTGATTTTTCCCACAATGAATAGTTATAAAATAAACATATTTGAATTTAATCTCACATTAGAGATGCACGAACAGTGAATTTCATTTTTTAAATAGAGGAGGAATCGAGAAAAAGGGGGAAGAAAACAGAACTTAAAATTTGTGATTACGGTGGTTTTCGTTCCGGGAACTGTTGACCAGGTCCACAAGCTTTTTTCTTCCACATTTTTTTTTCATACAAGCATGCTTCTCGGTTCGATTTTAACATACCTAATCTCCGTTCGTGCTCACCGGCTCCCTACCGTGTGAGCACTTGAAATCATACGGAGCCACGAATTGAGAGATGATAAGATGAGAAGAGATGTAGAGATATGTTAACAAAGAGGAAGCAAGTCATCCCGCAACACACCCCATCACTTTTTATATTTCAAAAGTTTAGGTGTTCTTCGCACTGAAAAATCATTCCTTTTTTGTTCTGTTTCATTTTTTAATATCCTTTTATCTTTTAATATTCATCCATCACTTTCCACTCCTTTTCTTCTTTTCGTAGGCAAGTTTTTTTGATGAAAACTTTTTCGATTTTTTTTTGTTGCGCACGAAAATCTATATCAAACGAAACGTCTGCTGATTCGGAAAGAAAGTTCAAAGGATAGACAATTTTTCATGAGAAATCAGTAAAATAAAACAAAGCATATAATTTCTAGGTTACCGTATTCGTTTTACTAGAAGACCATCCTATTTTTTTACACTTTGAGCTCCATTATCTCATTTTATATAAAAGATATCACAAACTTGTCAACTTTTATCGGTTAACAGATTTTTGATATCTTTCACAGGAACCGAGATTACTGAACTCAAAGTGGACGTATTTATGGGGTAGGCTTCAATTAGAGGAATTACGGTAGACTCAAGGATGATCGGAATGGTCTTTTCGGAATTTTTCGGATTCTCGAAAATTCTAATTTTGAAATTTTCGGAATATTCCGATTTTGAAAATTTCGGAATTTTTTTAAAATTCGCAGTTAAAGTAGGAGTTTAATTTTGACATCACAAAAACCCCAAAAACTGGTGAAAATTGAAAGAAAGATTTCGAAAAAAAATCAAAAGTGAAAAATGGTTGGAGTTTTCAAAATTTTCAGAATTTCGAATTCCATTTCGAACATTTCTGGGTGGACTGATCTTCCTATAATAATTCAAAGCCCAAAACTTCAGCCTAAAAATCCTAATTATGACAGAACTCCTTTGAATTGGCTTTCTTGAAATCCTCTGTTTTAAAACTACATTGGTTTATTGAACGATATAAAATGATACAATAGAGGGGCTTTTATACTGGTTACATGATGAAGAATTTAATAAAAGAAAGTGATTGTGGGGGATGTGATGCACATTCTCCGGTGAATCACCACCAGAAGAGTGCGATTTAGCAGATCCTCCATCCGAATTTACCATCCTTCTTTATCCCTTTTTTGTCACATAGCTTCTCAATCTCACCGATTCTATCGAACACCCATAAAATCTACATCATCATCAGCAACATCATCATTCAATGGATATTATCCTCTTCTCCTAAATCATCAACTCCATATTTGTAATGTACTCGTCGTCGTTTCCCCTCTCCCAAAAGTGCATATCAAAAAGTTGGTGTTTTGCGTTGGCATTGTATAAATAGTTTGTGTTGCTTTTGATGGCATCCAAAAAATACAAGTTTTTTCGTATCCCTATCCCCCTTATGTCATATATGCCAACACTTGGATTATGATAAGAAAACAGTTTATTGTATATCAGTCAAGTATGAGGAACGTTTGTCCTTCTCTTCTTCTCCTTATAATATCTGTTTTGTTTCCAACAAGTTTCTATGGACGGAAAAAAAAGGATGTTGAATAAGGCAGAGGACAGTTTTCTCTTTAGGGAGAGAGACCCACCCTTCTCCGCACTTTTTTCGTGTTTCCTTGAGGAGATGATGGACAGATTTATCATATCAGTTGACACTTTTTTTTTCATTTGATTTTTTATTTTCTCGAACTTGTAAAGTTTTGATATTGATCTCTTTTATCAGTACATATGTATTCTTCACAAATAAGTTGCAACCCATATTTTTATATACCGTACAGTGCGTTGCAGGTTCTTACGTCTTCCCACGTTTAGGGACGTAACTTGAGAGCTGTTAGAGATATCGGCTTAATTATATTAAAATCGGATTCGGGACCACTAATTATATCTAGTAGACAAATTCTATAATGAAACCTTGAAAACTACCCGAGTTATCTGGAAGAGTCTGAAAATATGCCTTTTGCAACCGTTGCAAGTTTATACGTCCACTCCAAAGATCAGTAGATCACAACCTCCAGCGAAGACGGAGGTGTTCAATTTTGATTTTTCCTTCTTGGAAACGGGCTTGGAAAAGAGAAAGATGAAATGGAAAATGTAAAAAAAGGATTTATTGAAAAAAATTTCAAATGTAGATATTCCTGAACATATCAACAAAAATTATGAAAAATGGCAAGTTTCAAAAGTGTACTGATTAGCCAGACTTTCGTCTGTTGATCCCTTTCGCCACGTAGAGGCTCAGTACATGAAAGGGAAAATGGGTTTTCACTGGGGGAAAACACCAACACAAAACCCCTGTCTCCGAGGAGACAGTTTTCTAATTTTCAATAGTTCTTTTTCTCTCCTAAAAAGATATACGGTCGCTATTTATTGTTTTTGTTCATTTTGTTTCTTTTTTCTTTGATTGAGTCTTTTGCAAAAGGGGGACGTTCAGTGAAATTGAATTCACCTAGCCATGAACCACCAAACATGGCGACCCTTAGGGTCTTTTATAACTTTTTTCGCATCCGACCAATCGAAAGAAAAAAGCAAGTGTAACAATAAACAGCTTACGCAGGGAGCTTCATGGCAGTCAAAAAGTGCTAGTGAAAATTATCAAACTAATTCAAAAAGTGGGATTTCCCAAAGGAATGTTTTTTTTCAATACGTGGAATTTTTTCCACGTGGACAGAGGTAGAGGGCGTGACCTAAAATTGATTGATTTAAAGGTTAATTGCGTAAAGTGTGAAAAGTTCTAAAAACTCGAAAATTGAATGTAGATTTACGTAACCCATTAAAAACAGTGAAAAACTAAGGGCGAACGAGTAAGAACTGGGTTGAATCGCGCCGAAGGCGCACCATCTGTTGTTTTATTTATTGGGCAATTATCTCGGTTCCTATACTCGAAATTTGGCAACTAATAAAATAAAAATAACGGTGATACTTTTATCAGATACTTTTTTGGAATGAAAAACATTCATGCTAAGGTTATTTTGGTAGATCATGCTGAACTTTAACACCTTCCCCCAGTTGGATCCGATGCACTTTTGAAAGAAGTTGAGACAACGTACTTTTTGATCGTCGGTAGGTGTCGGAGCTGGGACCATGATTGCTCTTTTGATGCCTGGATCATCTTTGAGACACCTCTAACCCGTCCACTTGATGACTTCAAGTTTCAGTTCCTGCTTGATACCATTACACGACTTCAAAAAGTTTGAAACGACAGTACTGGTAGAAGGTTGGGATCTTCAGGGCAGGATTTGAGCTGATCCTGTTTTTTTTTTGTTTTTCGGATGAGAAAATAGTTGATATGACAATGTGAATGATTTCGTTGCTTTCTGATAGCTTATTGGTCCATCCAGCTACTCCAACTGCCTGGATTGAAGCTTTTCCAGCATCAGTCGGCAAAAGATCCCATGACATGATACAAACTCAAATAAAGAGAATGAAAACGAACTTTTAATAGCGATTTTAGTTGTTCAGAATCAAAATTGAACACCTCCGTCTTCGCTGAAAGTTGTGATCTACTGATATATGGAGTGGACGTAAAAGCTTGTAACGGTTGCAAAAGGCATACTGCAAAAGACTCTTCCAGATAACTCGTGTAGTTTTTAAGGTTTCATTACAGAATTTGTCTACTAGATATAATTTGTTGTCTCAAATCCGATTTTCAAAAAATTAGGCCGATACCTCTAACAGATCTCAAGTTATGACCCTAAACATGGGTGGACAACGTACTGTATTCCTTCTAATAGAAGTCCACCCAAGCAGTCAACTTTGAGCTAAATCATTTCGATTCCTGTGACGATATCGAAAACTTATCAACTGATAATATTTTTTTGACATTATGTAAAAAATTTATTAGTCAGCAAATTTTTGAGATCTTTCACAGGAATTGAGGTAATTGAGCTCAAAGTAGACGTCTTGGGTTGGCTTCTATTAGAGGTAGTACGGTAGGCATTTCGCGTTTCATTTCCTGGGGATCTGAGTAAGATTACTGTACTTTTGGAGAGACATTTCATCATCGAATTAGATATTCCTCTGTTTCAGCATTGGTTTCTTTTCTTTTTTTAGACTAGACTATTTGAAATCCTTTCAGATTCTCAAAACATTCTGAAAATCCCAAACTTTGGGGCCCAAAGTGTTATCTTCTCTCCGTTTCTCATTTAAATTTGTTTCAAAAAGTTTCGAAGGTATCAGCTTCTTTGTATGTGTGTCCTCAATGGACAATGGAAAGTATCTGGGAAATTGGAACATGTATGGTCGATTGTGTAATAGGATTATTGCGTCCTGCAGCGCGACGGATCTCTCTTTCTCCTTCTGTGTTTTGCCTGTCTCGGGAATCCCGAAACATCAAATTCATCACGCTTCGTTGATACATTTGAACCGCTTTTGTGGCGGCTTATTCTGATTTCGATTCGTCTCTTCCTTGGTAGAAGTCTTCTACTAGAAGATGATCAAGACCTTCTTAGTGCTTCTGAAGTAAAGTGTCATAATGGGCAAAGCTGTTATCGTTTGCTTTATTTACCGTAAACACTAATAGAAGCCCACCTTATACTTGCACTTTGAGCGAATATTTCTCGGCTCTTTTTTTCGGAGAACCCGGGCCCTGGAATACCCGGCCCGGCCCGGTCAGGCCCCCGGACCGGGCCCTGATTTTGCAGGTATGTAATAAACATTCTGTGAGTTGACCATTTTTTGATATCTGTAACGAGAACCGAGATATATAGGCTCAAAGTACAAGCATAAAGAATCTTTTTAAAACTAAAAGATCCAATTGAAATTGAACTTCGGAACTAAGTTTCTCAAAAGAATCGTACTTTACCCTGCACCTAATCTGCTTAGCCCACCTATCTGCAAGATTATCAACCCTTTCTCCTTATCAACTGATACGTGTGATTTCACTTAGAAAAAAAACGCAGAAAAAACATGAACACCTTCAGATTAAAAGATTGTTTTGAGTTATCAGTCAATCAAACTGATGCGTTGAATGTCCTTTGTCCGAACAATTTCAATAAAAGGGAAATGATAACACAACAATGAATGAGCCATTTTGTCTAGTTTTCCAAAACTTCTTCGGTTTATAAACTTGATATACTTTACGATATATTACTGTAGCGTTATTTGTTATACTGTAACAACTCCCTTTTCTGGTACGCTCTGATACTTGCGAAATTTGGAACCCATATTATCAAGTTGACAATATAAACTACAGAAAAAGTTCAAAAGATATCCCACGCAACATTCCAATCCGTTTATTCGATACCATAAATCAACAGCTTCTCCGTTTTCATATCTTCTCCTATCCTTCTCAATTCAGCAACTTCTTCTCCTTAGATTCAGCACACGGAACACCTTCTCTTTTGTCTTCTCCGAATATTTATCACTGTCTCTTTTCCTTCTTCTTCTTGTCCACCTGCTGCTTTCCTTACTCAAGGTCGTGTCCGCTCTCCCTTACTTTCCGAATATATTCATTTGCATGAACATATCTTTTTCCTTCGTATCATTATACAATCTAGTGTTGTTTCTTTAGTTCTTAGCCAATAATTGAGGTCCGTTTTCCGAGAAAAGTGTACTAGTGAAACGGAAAAGTCTCAATCATCCCGTTTTCCATTCACTATAGTTCAGTTCAGTTTTAATATGTTCTCTTCATTTCATAACCACCACAAAAAGTGCTATCAGTTCTCACCTATTTACTAGAATGCTCTGAAGCTCCATTACTCATACAGAAACATTCTCTAGTCTGGTTTGAATGTGGTCATTTCTGAAACTTCCAGATGTGATCACTACATGTCGTTGGCTAGAAACTCCTCAACTATTTAAAAGAAAACTGGTTCATTGTAAAATGCCCTTTTGATAACGATTGTTTATCAATCACTTATGCAATCTGTCCAATTTCAATTTGACCTATCACCTCGTTCCGAAACTTTCTCCTCCGGTAGTTTATCATTTGTCTCCTCGAATTCCAAAATTTCTAAATTTGGTCTGATAAGCTTTCCGGATACTGTACTATTTTCTAGAGAAGTTTTCGAATTCCTCTTTAAAATACCGTTAAAACCTGTTATAGAAGGGCCACTAACTTTTAAGTTTGAGCCAATTTATCTCGGTTCTTGTTAAAGATAGAAAAAAGTCGTGAACTGATAAATTACTTATCATAATATCACAAACATTTTATTTGTTGACATATTTTTGATATCTTGCACAGGAGCCGACATAAATCAGCTCAAACTCGACAGTGAGGGGGGCCTTCTATTACAGGTTTTACTGGTAATATTTATTCCGTTGCCAAGCCAGTTTCAATTAGAAAATGCAACCTTTGACATTTTCTCGATTGTCACCTTTTATTTTATTTTTACCGCGAAGCTCTCTCTTTTTCTCAATGTATGTTTTCCACCACTTTGAAGATTTAGGCGCAGATAATATCTCGAAAGTCGTCGAAAAGAAACCGCCGAACCGCAACCCCAGACAACCACACAATCCTATTTCTCTTCGTTTTTCAACTTTTCTTCATCTCCTCTCTTTCCCCTATTTTTGTGTATTATTCAGATCAATTCCACATAACATCATGGGTAGTCTACCTATTCTTCTGCTGCTCCTATTCCTTGTTCAAACTGCTCTAGCTGATGACACATGTCTCAGTCGGGGACAACTCTTCGGAGTCATATTTGGATCTGTGGCTGCTGCATTTCTGATTTCTGCTGCACTTGCTATGATTCTATATGTTTGGTACAGACGTTCTAGTAAGCAGTGTAAAATCCTAAGAAAATATTCACAGTGAGAATATTCAGGCACATTGAGAGAAACAGATGAAAAGTCAGCTTATGCAAACGATGCATGTGACGTGGAAGACAAAGGATGTGATGCTCCGAAATCTATAAATAAGGACAAAATGACAATGATCGATTCATTCAAATTGAAAAGGAAAATGGAAGACACTGGAACTCAAAAAGCATATTCCATGGAGTTTTTGAATGAGGTCGAGGGGAAAGTAGGCGTCCAGCTACGCGGAGAAGACATCGGTGGACTTGGATTCAATATTCAAGGAAATATGAATGAGGGAATATTTGTCAAAGAGATCATTTCAAAGGGTATTGCTGAACAGTGCGGGAACATTTTGGTTGGAGATAAAATCAAGTCATTGACCATTAACTTTGAGAACATGGTATATGAAGATGCGGTGACTTTACTCAGTTATTCATCTCCGTACAAAGTAGGTTAAATGTGAAAAAACTGAATACTGTAAGTTTGTATTCCAGGTAAAGCTGGAACTTGAAAGAAAACTTTCCGAAAATGCGTCTACCAGTGATAGTGATGATGGTAAGATAACCTTACCGTAAACGCTGCAGATAGAAGCCCGCCCAAAACGTCAACTTCAAGCTCAATCATCTCGATTACTGTGAAAGATAAAAAAAAAGTGGTCAACTGGTAAAATATTGGTGATATTATGATACATAGTTCATCAGTTGACAGATTTTTTATATTTTTCACAGAAATCGAGATACCGTAAAACCTCTAATAGAACGACACCCGGATCGTCCACTTTGAGCCTATATATCTCATTTTCTGTGAAAGATATCAAAAAGTGGCTAACTAGTAAAATGTTGCTGATATCCTGATAAAGTAAAATGTTGCTGATATCCTGATGTTGCTGATATCCTGATAAACATTTTACTAGTTAACCACTTTTTGATATCTTTCAAAAGAAATGAGATATATAGGCTCAAAGTGGACGATCCGGGTGTCGTTCTATTAGAGGTTTTACGGTAATTAAGCTCAAAGTTGACTGCTCGGGCGAGCTTCTATTAAAGGAAGTACGGTAGCACATTTCACATATTTTCAGAAAAGGAAATGAGATATCATCCACTATTCCGCAGTAACACACTGACTCATGTTCATTTCAATCCACTCGGCACAATTTCCACTCCAACTTCTGTTGCCACAACTCCTCAAAGATGTACTTCAACTGACTCAAAACAAAAGCATGCTCTTCCCGCAAAGAAGGAAATGGTCGAACCTGATTCGACAACTTGTGCTGATGACAGTAGCCAGGCACGTGATGCGGATAACAGTCGAATGGATAGCAGTGATTATGGTAGCGATGGAGTATCCGATTGTAGGGAAAGTACTGCAAGTGATGGAACCCAGAAAACATTGAGTGATAGAATTGAAATCACTGATATCATTTTCGATAAGGTCAAATCACCAACTCCACCGATTGCAAGAAAGTTGGAACAGTGTACCGAGTTACCGCCAAAACCAAGAAAGATGATATCCAGGGTAAGACTATTTTGAGCTTGATGACTTGATTGAAAGCTTTTTTCAGTCCCCATCACCAATTCACAAACCACCACCGTCTCCAAAAGTGAACAGAGCCACCAGTCCGAAGAAATCGCAACAAGTGGAAGACTCAACTCAAACTGCAAAGCTTTCTGCTGAAACCAAACCGACTCAAACTGAAACCGCGAAAGCTCCTATCCCACCTCCAATCAGTTCGATTCCAGTTCGAAAAGAGATGGAGACCCAAACAAAAACACCTTCTCCAGTACAAACAGTTGTGGAGAGAGTTGTAGAGATGCCTCCTGCAGAAATAAAAGAAGAAGAACCACCAAAAGGTCCAGAGATCACTGAAGCACGGATTTCGAGAATTCCAAAACGAGCAGACAGCATAAAGACTCCAGTTTTAGAGAGAAAACTGCCAGCACTACCAAAAAGTGTAACGCAAAGAAGTCATAGTGCAGATAAGGTAAGATCTCACTACTTATACTCGCCCTGTGAGCTCAATTATCTCAATTTCTATAAGAGATATCAAAAATGTGTCAACTGATAAGATGTTTAGCATAATACTACTAACATTTTATCAGCTGACACATTTTTGATACCTCTCATAGAAATTGAGATTATTAAGATCAAAGCGGAGTATAGAGTGGCCTTATATAAGAGGGATTACGGTAGCCGAGACTTTCTGATTTAAACGTTTTATAATGGTTTCAGAATGATAATGTTTGGAGTCGGTTATATCAGGAAAAGAAAGGTCAGCTGAGAAAGACACGGGATGTGTCATCGCCTCCAACTGCTCATACTTCTGGAATTCCAACGCCTTCAAGATCCATTAGCATATCTGGTCCTTCTCCAGTTGCTGCAGTTGTGAAGCCAGTGAGCACAGAAAATGAAAAGTGAGAATCTCAGTGTTTTATCCCATTTTTCAATTGTCCATACTTGCAGATACGGTACATTAACACGCGACAAGCGTGATCGTTTGATGGCGAACGACGCGGAATTGGAAAGGCAGCGGGAAGAGTTGAAGAAATTGGGCATTTTATGAAGGAAATCATCTCATCTTTCAAAATAATTGTTTTTTTCACTTTTTTGGGTATTTCTTCAGACATATTATCGCAATGTTGTTCTATTTATTCAATCTTCCCTCCCACTTCTTCTTCCAATTCCCGATCATAGACACAAGTGCACTTACTCTTGCCTTTCGTCAAGTTGTACAGTTTTTACTTATTACTTCTCACGAAAAATATAGATTTAAAGCTTGAAATCGTAATACAAAACCGTAAATTTTTATGACAGTAGGGCTGAAACCGTAAAGCGTTTGACATGAAAGCGTAAGATATGTAAGCATTAGTTTAAATTTTAGTCTAGGTACAAAAAAAGAAATGAGTAGTTATGCGAGACAGTAGTCAAGATGTCCATGAAGAAATCTTTCCTCCACTTCTATATTGCAAGATGGGCAGATAACAATATCATCAGTCAGTACAAATGAGGCCTCCAAAGCGTCGTCTTCTTCATTAAAATGTTGATCGTCATCACTATCGTCAAGAGTAATGACTTCTGGAGTTGAACGAGGAGGTGAAATAAAGTTCACAGGTGGAAGAAGACGACTGACTCCAGTACTTCCTCCAAGCCGAACTCCTCCAGTAGTATTAGTCACTAGTGATGAAGATGTAGATGTCCCTCCAAGTTTTTGTCCGGACCCTTTGAATAACGAGCTAGGACAGCTTTTCGGCGGAGTTTTATTCGGCGAGGGGTTTGATGAAAAATCATTTCTCTTGAAATAATCATCGATAGTATTTTTCGGAGGAGTTACACTTTTCTTCGAAGCTGGTCCAACATCCTTCTTACTTGATTTTTTCTCTCCGAAACCTTCTGGTTCCTTCACTTTCAAGAAGCTGCCTGCAATAATTCAATTTAGAGAATAAAGTTTCGTAGTTCTCAACTACCTCCACAATTCTGTTGATGTTGACTCCACCATCTATCGTTTGGTCCTGGAGTTCTATTACATGTTCTTTTTACATAACCAAAAAATGGTCTTCTGTCTCTGCATGGTCCAGAGCATCGCCACCAGTGTTTCTTATAAAGTCGGACCTCGTCATGGAAGCTGTGATAAATAGTGATATTTGTTCCTCCTGCTTGATTGATGCGATGCATATGGGACTGGAAATGAGGTCCGTGTCCATCACGATCTCGATTACGCTCTTTGACAAATAAGAATGCGTGGATCATCTCGTGCTGAAAAAATCTCGTAGTTAGGAAAATTTTCATATGCAATACCAGCAGCGTTTCAACGAGGTCTTTTCTTGGTCTCAAGCTGAGAAGAGGTTTACTGAGTCGAATTGAACAGAGTCCTCCTCTTCCTCCACGCACTTCGTATGAACAGATTCCAGCGCACCTTAAAGACTCTATTGTCTGTTTCGAACTTCAGCAGACTATGCTTGCTAGACCTACGTGTACATTCGAGGGCTCCATTTTACTTCACAGCAGGCCAATGCTCCGCCAAAAAATCGGTTGTCGAACTGAATGAACAAGGCGTGAATATCAGGGCAGGGATCAATAAGTTCATAGGAAGGATCAACGAGAGAGCCATGATGCATGATATTTAGGTGACGACACTTCACGTCTGTTCGAAAAGTAGCGTAATATTGTCGGGATTAAAAACTGTCAGCTACCATGTATGCAGAAATGAGGCCACGCCCCTTGCAACCGCCGCATGGTTTTCGCACGCTTCTGAGATTCTCGTATTTTATGGGGTTATTCATGACATAAAAATGTATTTTTTGGAATTTTTAAACACAAAAAATTAATGCATGCATGCGAAAAAATGTATTTTTTTGTATTTAAAAAACAAATCATGCATAACCCCATTAAAGTTTCTGTCCTATTTTTTTTTTTGATAAAAAGGTAATCCAAGAACGTTTTCAAATACAATTATATCGGAATTTTCATTGAAAAATAGCACAAAAACTCTAAAACACGAGAATCTCACAAAGGAAGGTTTTTTAGACAACGGTTGAGAATTTGCTCAAAATTTGTACAAAGGTACTTTCGAACATGCTGAATCCGAATCCAAAAAAATTTTTAGCCCGTTCTCAAAAGGAGCCGAAATATGGCCTCTGAAAGTTCTTTTAGTACTAAATTTTGGCCAAAAACATGCATTTTTCGAGGTTAAAAATTAGTTTTTCAGGATTTGCTTGAGTGCGAAACTCATTTTTGGACATTTTTCTATCTTCTAAAGTAACTTTTAAACATTTTCAAAAAAAAATTTTTTTGAGAAATTTTGAAAAAAATCACCATGGGGTCACACTTTGAAAATGATTTTTTGAAAAGTGCGAAAAAACGTTCCAATTATTCAGAAACGATAAAAATAGCATTCTGACAAATTTTTTCAGCCCAATGTTGTCTTTGGGCTCAAAAAATCTCCAAAATCTGATTGTTGTTAGAACTGACAGTTCCTAATTTCTGAAATATCGCTTGAACTTAACTGAAACCTATAGAAGTAGGTTCGAATATTGTATGTGATCGATTTGACAGTACTCCACCTCAAAAAGAGCAAAATTGAGCAACTTGCAGAGACTGAAATTTTCGTTTTTAACGATAGGATGTAAGAACCGGTCGAAAAGACCATTATCTGTTTTTTCCTCAAACTCTCATGAAATTTTTTTTCTTTGAAAACTTTTGAAATTAATCAAAAAGTGTCATATAGTGCCTAGGGGGGCAAATTTGGAATCAAGGATTAGTTTCAAAAAATGCAAAAAAAGTATTACCACAGTGGGGGTCGAACCAGCATAGTCAATCCTAATGAGTCACCCTCTTACCACAACACCACACAACCGATATTTTCCTCTCACGCGGAATTAGTAGAGGAGGGAAGGGGAAGCCGAAATCCCCAGCTCACCGAAATCGGCCCAAATTTTCAGACAAAGTTTTCCGGCCTGGGAGTGAGAACGGGCTAAAAATTGTTTCGTCATCGTATAGAGCATGTCTTAAACTATAAGTGTGCAAATTTTGAGCGAATTCTCAACCGTTGTCTAAAAAACCTTCCCTTGTGAGATTCTCGTGTTTTAGAGTTTTTGTGCTATTTTTCAATAAAAATTCCGATATAATTGTATTTGAAAACGTTCTTGAATTACCTTTTTATCAAAAAAAAAATAGGACAGAAACTTTAATGGGGTTATGCATGATTTGTTTTTTAAATACAAAAAAATACATTTTTTCGCATGCATGCATTAATTTTTTGTGTTTAAAAATTCCAAAAAATACATTTTTATGTCATGAATAACCCCATAATATACGAGAATCTCAGAAGCGTGCGGAAATCCATGCGGCGGTTGGAAGGGGCGTGGCCTCATTTCTGCATACACGGTAGCTGACAGTTGTTTAATTCCGACAATATATCATCTGCAAACGAATATTCTAGAACACAATCAAGAATAAATTCATAAAATTAGGTTTCAGCTTAAAAATCAAGAAAAACTGTGCACATAAGCTTTCAATTCATATATTTTTAAGCTTTTGAGGTCAAATACAGTTGAATTTCATAAGGATTTTTCAATTTACAGAACTTTTTCGTTTTTTAACAAGCAAATTTAATAAAAAGATTAATGGGCGGAGTTTCGTAAAACCACAAGCAGCGCCGCGCGCAGTTTTTGCAATCGCCTCGCATGCCTTCCCGAAACAGATATTTTTCTGCAAGGAAACCGTGAAACAGAACAACAGAAAAAATTCGCTCGTTTTCTATTGTTTTCAGTTTTCTCAGCCATTACATGACCCTATTAGCCTTTGTATTATTAGGCTACTTTATGCATCAGCCGTCTTAATAGTTCTTCACCCATCACGTGATGAACGCATCCTCCGTTTTCGAAGTGTCTTTCTTTGTTTGTTTCTCTCTCCCTGTCCGTCTTTCTCTCGATTTTCTTGAAGTAACGTTTTTGGAATTCACTTAATTTTTTTTGCAGAATGGATGATCACCGACCTAACCATGTAGGGCGATCAAAAATGTATAAAACGAATGGTAAGTGCACTCTGATTCTTGAGTTATGTCATTCAAGAAATCTATTACAGCTCGCGATCAGAACGAGATGCGCCGGAAGCGGAGAGAAGACGAAGTTCAAATTAGAAAATGTCGCAGAGAGGAACGGTTCGAAAGGAATCGGAAAATGACTACAGAAAGATCTTTGAGTCAAGACGAAAATTCCGAAATTCTCAAAAAAGTAGTTGATGGCTTGCACAGTATGAATGACGAAGTGATTTCTGAATCACTGACGAGGTTGCATGACAATGTCAAATATAATGGATGGACGGTACAAGCTCTTGCCAAAGGTCAGATTCTAAACAAAATATCAGACGTTTATTGCAATCGGTAAGAAAGCTCCAGTCATCTGAGACGTTCTTTCAATCTCACTTTTTTCAGGATGATTTCAAATGCAACTCGTCAGCTTATTGCTGAAATTTTTTCTATAACCAGCAATCTTGGCATTCAAGCAAATGAAGCATTCAACCCAGACGAAAAAGTTATTCAAGCTCTTGTTACCAACATTTCCCAATTTTCCAATGACGAGGATGTTTTGTGTGACACTTTTCAGTCAATAGCCTGCTTCATCATTCGTAGCTTAATCTATCGAAACCTGGCTCTGGACAATGCTATTGTTCCAGAACTGTTGTTAATCAGCACACAACCAATGAGCGTTCTTCTTCATCGCTCACTGATGTGGCTGGTGTCATTATTCTGCGAAAAACTGGATAAGTATAGTCCGGATGTAGAGGAAGTTGCACCGCTTCTTGAGATCATTACCAGCGGAATAACTTCGACCGACGCGATGGTTCAGACAGACGCTGCATCAGCTTGCGCATCTCTGGCAGAATGGTCACCGATTTATGAGCACATGCAGGAACAAAAACTATGCTCCATACTTGTCGCAAATCTCAGCAATGATAAGGGAAATGCTAGACCAAAAGTAAAATGTGCTATTAGCTACATTATTCAAGCTACTGGATATTTTACTGAGGAAATGATAGAAGCTGGTCTTCTGAGTGTTCTCAAAGGATTCGTCAATGTCAGTTATATGTCACAGGAAGTCTGCTTTATCATCTCAAATATTTGCGTCGAAGGAGAGCATACCATTGATAAACTGATCGAGTCCGGAGTTTTGAAAGAAGTCGCTCGAGTAATGGACGCAGCTGAATACCGCGCTCGCAAAGAAGCTGCATTTGTCATTTGTCACTGCTGTGCTTCGTCTAATCGCCGACATCTTGAGTATGTCATTGAGCTAGGAATGCTCACAGCATTCACCGATCTCCTTACATGTATGGATGTTTCTTTAGTATCATACGTAAGTTTCTGAGAACTACTATACGCTGTAAATTATCAAAATATGTTCAGATTCTTGATGCTATCACATCACTACTTCAATTTGGTGAACTCTATAATCAAAATAACACTAACCCAGTAGCTGAGAAACTCGAGGAAATTGGATGTCGAGAAAAGCTAGAATTTCTAGTGGAGAGCCAATGTTTCGAAATTCATGCTAAAGCATTCACGATACTCGAGAGGTATTAGTCATCCCACATAATCGAAAAAAACATATTTTAGATTCTACGGTGATGACGAAGAGATTGCAGCGGCCGAAGAGATTACAGATTATCAGCCTCGCAGCACAATCGATAGCACAATCGAGATGCTTATCCGCAATTCCGCAACCACAACATCCCAGCCCTTTACATTTTGAACTTTCGTTGTATAACTTTCCCGTTAGTTTATTTTCTCGGTTTTCATTTCAGGCATAGTCATTTTTCGTACAATGCGAACCACACGGTTCAATCTAACCGCTTTTTACTGCCTTTCACCCTGTTTAACGACTCTATTTTTATTTTTCTCATAGTCAGTTTTGATATTCAAATTTTAAATGTAAATGAGTTCCTCATCAACCTTCGCTATTCTTGTCAGCTGCAGTGGTCATTAAATGTGCTATTATTATCATCTTTTTAGAAATTTTGTTGTAGTCATACTATTCCAAAAAATGAAGTCATAGAAACTGTTGAACGTTTGGACTGCTTCTGATGGTTTTCTTTCTTGGTTCATCCTTCACCTAACCATATCACTCTTTTCTAAAAACTCTTGCATGGTTTACTCTTGTTTTTCAGATTCTAGTCCATAATGAGCACGGGTAGCCCGGGTGAAACCAAACGGGAACGGTTTGTGATGTTCGAAGCATTTACGCTTGGCTCTATATTCGTCATCGCAGCAGTAGGGATAGGAGTTGGTGCATATCTTCACGTCACTGTTCACAGCCATAATTCCTGCTCAATGACGTTCATGTACAGAAAACTTCAGTTTTTGGTACGTACTTCCTATAGTTGACTTTGGAACTGACTATTTTTTCAGGATATTCCTGTACCAGATAATGAAGTCAGTCATTATAGTCTTTCCGTTTACAATGAAGGGTATCGTTGGTGGAATCGGAGCACGATCGACATCAATCAGATTCCAGTTCTATTCATCCCTGGTAGTCAAGGATCTGCAAAACAAGTCCGATCGATCGCATCCGTGATGCAGAATAAGACTGAAATGAGACAATCGGTGTTTTCGTTTCGATTCTTTGCTGTTGATTTCGACGAGGAGAAGACTTTCATGAATGGGCACACTGTCAATCGTCAATTGGATTATGTTATGAAAGCTATTCGAAAAATACAATCATTAATGCGCGTGAAGAGAAGGATCGTGCTTATAGGACATTCATATGGAGGAATGGTCGCTCTTCTCACAACTGTTCATCCAGATTTTCATGATGATATCGAACTAGTGATTGTGAAAGGAGCTCCTATCACCAAAACACGTAAGTTTTATTTTTCTTTCTGTGTTTCAAGATAGATTTTACAGCAATTCTCAATGATTGGACTACACTTCGACTCAATAAGTTACTCACCACGAAATGGGATCTACTTCAAGCATCTGATCTGAAGCACGTTGGAGTAGTGGCTTACACAGGAGGGCTTCGTGACTTTCAAATACCTGATGAGTGGTCGATAATGCGAAATGTTACACATCGTCCGATTTGGGCAGTCGGTGGGGTTTCCGATCTCGGTGCGGATCATTTGGCGATTTTATGGTGTAACGAGTTTGTTAGGCACGTCTCTCGCGTTTTGTATTTTTACGGAGAGCATTTCAACAAATGGACTGGCCGTAGAGTGGTTCAAACTTTCTATAAGGATGAAATGGATTCGAATATCAAGCAGGCTAAACTAGTCCGTCATATTGATGAAATCCCAACAAAAGAAATTCAAATTGGAAAGCAGTACGAGAAACTTCATATCCCAGAAGAGCAATTCGTTCTTCTCCTCAAACCTGAAAGATTCCAAGTCTTTTCAGTCAGAGTCAATGCGACGTGTGGTAAGTTTTTGAAGTGATTCAGATGGATAATCAATTCATAAAACTTTACAGTTAACTCTATGATTACTGTACGTCACCATGAGTCAATGATGCACTTCGAAAACGCAACTGACGGAGTCGTTCAAACATGGATATATCGCGCAGCTGACAAAGAAAAAGTTCGCTTTCTTCTAAATGTCAACGCGCCATGCCATGTCGACGTTCAAATGACGAACTCTCTCATAATTTATCTTTGGCGATTCTACGAGGTGATACATCTGTGAAAAGTCTTTATCAACCAAAATATTCTTCAGGTAATGTTCTCTCATTTGAATGAAGTTGGTGCTACATTCATAACCACTTCTTGTTTCTTCGCAATCCTACTTCGTGAACCACCATTACGGTCAGCTGGAGTCATTGGTCTCATCAATGTAGCTGCTCTTGGTGCCGTTCTTCACGGTACTTTGGATACATCTGATACTATGGCACTTCCAATGGCTATAGGATACTTTATGGCGCTCGGATACAGATTTCTGTGCTTCCTGGTTGATGTTCTGATTCTTTCCAGACTTCAGTTTTTGAAAGTTGCTCACAAAGCATTTAGAGATGATATGCTTATCAATGGATTATTTTTCATTGGTTCTGCGTTAACAATCACTGCAAGCAACGAGGGAGCAATCTTCTTGATTGTTTGTATGGCATTCGTAAGTCGTTAGTGGGCGAACATTCCGAAATCTTCTGAATTTTCAGCGTCATCATCCAAGGGCCGTTCTTCTCGTGGCACCGGCGCTTGTACCTCACATTCTGAAGCTTGTGGGTGTCCCATTGTTCACAATTGATTCTATAACGGTTCACGGTCTTCAATATCATCCCGCCTTTTACACTTTCTTGATGTATCTATGGGGACTATTCTCAACTCTACACGTTGGAGAAGTAACGATGCGAGTTATGATTTACGGAATTACACCAGCGTTCCTTTATCTCGTCTCGTCGCCACTGGAACTTTATTCAGGATTTGCTCTCCTGATTCTCAGTTGTGCTCGTTTTGTGTCATATTCCACACGAAGGCCGCCAGTCGAAGTGACGTCACCAGTTACAGCTTCAGAAGCTTCAAGATCATACACAGAGCAACTACAACAAGATCAGCGTCAGAAGCAAACCTACAATTTCCGAAACAGGAAGAAGTGACTTCTGATTACAAGTGAATTTTTCGACCTACTTTTCAAAATTGTCCTTACATCACTGCTTCGCTAACGCTTTTTTCAGTTTTATGTGTCTTATATATAGTTTTCGATTCGAGATCGTATCAACTTTCATTGATTTCTTTGCACTCGTACCGGTCTGCATTATATTGCTGTGTTATTGTTTTCCCACAAATTTGTTCGTGTTTCATTATTACTGGTCTTGTGCTGATCATAAAATATGCAAGAAAGAAGATTCGGTATTCATTAGGTTTTTCATGTCAACAATTTTTTTCATAAAATTCGTTTGTTAGCGAATAAGCTCTGAAAGGCACCGTAGTCATCAAAATTTACAATTTTTGCATCTGCATGAGCTCGTGGAACTTTAGACTTACAATTAAATTTTTGATCTATTAGATTTGACTGTCATTACCCGCATCTTTTAATGCCTCTTTGCCTTGCCAAACAATCCCCAAGTTGTTTCCAGGAATCTTTTTTTTTTGTTTTCTCTGGTATTTAACCATCTCAATCAGCTGAATATTTTTTCAGCCATATCGTGTGCTGATGGATGAAAAGGAGAAAGCGCGGGCATTCAAAGAATTCTTCACAAGTAAAACGCGATGGGTCGGTTTTATAGCAATTGTTCTGTATTTGGCAGTTGTTGTATCTACATATCATTTCTCTCCAAAATCATTTATCAAGCATCGAGATAGTTTGAACTGCCAGCCACTGAATTTCACGGATCACATCTCCATGAAGGTCAGTTTCCACAGAGATCACAATTGCGAATGTTTTTATTCCAGCCATTGCTTCGTGGATATGGAAAATTAAAAACATTCGAGTTGATGGAATTCGTTTTACCAGAAGATGCCCATGAGAACGAAGTACCTGTCAGCACAATAGAAAAAAGCATAGAACAAAAGCCAACGGAGCATGAAATGGAGCCTACACTTGACGGAAAAAAGTCTAATAACAAGGAGGCTAACATAACCAGCGAAAACAAAAATACCAATATCACCTCCCACGACGAGAATGTCAAGACCACATCAGTTGCTATAACAGAAAGCAAACACCCGAAGAAGACTCGTACAATTCCAGTCCTTTTCTGGCCTGGTGATAAAGATCACGTGGATCGTCATCTATTTCTTGCTAAGCTAATGCAGAAACGGACAAAGAAGTCCAGTTTCCGATTCCGCTTTTATTCCATGGATTTGCACATGAGTCTGATATGGTATAGCCTTTATACCATAGAAAACCATAATATGTTGATAAGTTATTCGCTGGAGGAGATACAGAAATTACATCCTGATGAAAGGCCTCTACATATGTCACATGGTTTAGGTTCGGTTCATGCGATTCAGACAGTGATGATCGAACGGGAGAGATTCAGAAATAAGTCAAACAATTTTGAAAATGTGCCAGTGGATGACGTTACACCAGGCATGATGATATTCGAATCTTCTCCGTGGCTACTGCCGGGTCACTATGAGAACACTCCGATGTCTAGAATGCGTACACTCATGTTCGCATTTCGCAACGATACGTACAAAACGGGAGCGGTCTCATTTGAAGCAGGCTTCGACGACACAACTGCTGATCCTTCCTGGCTACATAGAAAAAATGCACAACGTATTCCGGTTTGGACGATCGATGATGTACCCGACAATGGTCTAACAGGAAATCGAATGGCTAAATGCGCACCTTACTTGGATACTGTAGCAGATTTTCTCATGTTCTATGGAGAGCGAAGGGATCGAGAAACTGGAAAGTCTGTCGCGGAAACTTTTCATGATGTTTGGGAAAGTAGAAAACGAGGACCTCTTCCGAACGGATGGGAGAAAGACAGACAGAAGGGAGCTGTTACAGTGCAAGTTGGCGAGAAACACAGTATCACGGTAAACGGTGTTCAATGGATTGATGTGGATGTGCAGCGGAACAAATCTATCATTCTCTATATTACGGGACCTTGCCGTAAGGATATATACAAGTCTACAATATCACGAACTATACTTTCAGTTACTGCTGCAACCATCATACGAGGACATAAATTCATTAAGCGAAAAGACGAGTTGATGAATGGAACTGGTTTTGAGTTTGGGATTTACCAGCTCAAGCCATATGAAGATGTGAAATTGCTTCTAGAATCCAGCATAACGTGCAGTATCACTATTGAAACAAATCCCTGGTGGCTGGAATACACGCAAAAGTTCTACTATGTTAGTTTCTCTCTTCCACACTCCGATTGATTCAGTGTTAACAAGTACAAAAGGAGTCATTATCTTTACAGGCACTAGTGTTTGATCCATACCATTTCTGGGTTGGTGCTCAAATCACTTCCACCCTCCTGGCCTTTTTTGAATGCGAAAAAAGATCGTTTCGTTTGGAACATCAATTGTACATCTACGTATTCTTCATTGCTGCTCTTTTTTATCACACATTATACACGTACGGATTTCAACTACCTGGCTTGATTTGTGGAGCTGGTTTCGCACTGTCTATTCATTTCGTGTGCAGCACCTTCGATGACCTAGTCTTGATAAGGTGGACAACGTAAGAGATGTTTCATAATCTCGGCATAAACCAATTGTTTCAGGACTAGTCTTGATGCTTACTATCATAGGAGATCCCATTTTTCTGCATTCTTATGCCTCGCTCTTCTCGCGTCTGTGCTCTCCACCGGACTCAGTACCATGATGGTTCTCGTTCTGTACAGTCTGGAAAACCGAGCATTTTTAGCGATTCCTACGTTGGTAACTCATATTCCAATACTATATCGGATTTGGTACATCCCGTTTGTCATGGAATATGAGCCGAGATTGTGTGGTACATTGCTATTTTCCATATTATGTTATGTGGAGTACATGTTTGGTAACAGTTTTTGGGGAAGGGTTGAAAGAGATCGGTCATTGCTCGGAACACTAGCAAAGCGCCTCAGGCAGTCTCTACCCGAACGATTTTCTCGTCGCGATATTCGGATGTGTCTCTACCCCGTTTTGCTCTTCATTTTGGTAAAAGAACTTACTCTGGAATGGATCTACGGACTCGAGATTTTCCTCGTGGCACTCAATCGGAAATGCCAACGACACACACCAACTCAGCTTCGTCAAAATCCGATCGACTTACAAGAATTGGAAGAAGAATATCTTGAACAAGAAGACGAAGATTAGAAACCCTCATTCACAATTTACAGTCGCTTCAAATTGTTTTAAATTCTGTGTCATATTTATGGCAAATACTCATTAGCTTGATGATCTTTTGCTAAATGCTCACTTGCTAAATATGCTCATTTGCTAACCTCGCTCATTTGCTAAAATAGTCTCAATTGCTAAATTTCATTTGCTAAATTTTGATCATTTGCTAAAAATGAAAAAGTGGAAATTTTGCTGTTATTTGCTAATTTCAGTACTTTTTGACTGAATTTTTTACAGAATATTCCGGTTTTTGCTTTAAATTTTAGGCTTAGGCTTAAACACCTGTTTTCCGAAAAGGAGTTTCAGCCTAAGCCTTCAATTTGAACAAATCCTCTATTTAGCAAATGATCAAAATTTAGCAAGTGAGACTATTTTAGCAAAAGATCACCAAGCTAATGAGTATTTGCCCATAGTTATGCAGTATTTCGTTTGATCTTGTTCATTCACGGGTTTTCATTTCAATTACTTACAATCCTTGTGATAATAAACTATTCATTTAACCATTTTTCTCTTTTAAGGATCCAGATAAGGATAATGCTCTCCAATTGTTACCTCGCCCTCATGATAGTCAAAAAAAAACATCAAGTAACAACAGTTTAGATGTCTGATATAAGTGACATTGAAGAAGATCAGACTGCTCCTATTGCTCCACCTGGATTACCCGGTCAGTTCGACCCAAAGCGCCATGCCCGAGAACAACATAACGCCCTCGAAAGAAGACGTCGTGACAACATAAAGGACATGTACACGAGTCTCCGAGAAGTGGTTCCTGATACAAATGGAGAACGTGTTCAGGCTTCGAGGGCTGTAATTTTGAAACGAGCAATTGAAACAATAGAGAAGGGTCAATCAGATAGTGCCGCTCTTTCGATTGAATTAGCTGCACAAGAAGCAAAGAATCAACATCTTAAAGAAGAGGTGATTATAACAGATTTTTTAAATATGTTAGTCTGAAAAGAATCGTGGAAGGAAAACGCCAGTGGGCGGACGTGGTCGCAGCTTCCAAAACGAAAGACTACCGTAGTCGAAAAAAGAGGTGGAAAAAAAAATTTTTAGGTTACGGTAGTATTCATTTCGGGATGTCCAACGACGGTTTTCTTCCACAATTTTTTTTGGACTAGCATATGACCTGAAGCTTGTGTGCAATTTTTCCAATTCCGTTTTTCAGATCGCACGTCTGAAAGCCAAAAAGGAAGCTGCAAAGTTAGCAGCGACAGTAACTAAAAAATAAATTATTTCTGTCACACTGTGCTTATGAGCTCTTGAACTAATTATTACTCCTGAACCACTGTAATTTTATGTATAATGAAAATTAATTTAAGCAACTATACCCAAAATGTTATTAAACACGAACAAATGATTTCAGAATGAATACAACTGGATAAGATTGATGGTAAGCAATACATTAGTTTCACTATGTTCCCTTCTGCAATTCAGAACTATCCAAGAAATGTCTTTTAGGGACATTCTTCTCGTTCGGAAAATGCCAAACGGATCCTCCTCATTCTCTCCGTATGCTTCACCTTCTGAATAGCCAGATATAGAGAGAGAGTTTTGGAATTGAAAGAAATGAAGAAAAGAAAAACGAAGATTATCGGCTTATCCGGGGCACACGGCACCCGCTTGTCCTATATCCCCTCGTCTACAGTTTTGTCTTCTCCTCACAATTAGCAGTGTCCGTGCCTCTCCTCCCTCCATGCGCTTGTCAAGAATCCGTCGACGACAACTAACTTTTGCTTTCTATCCTGTAGAAACTTTTTGACTTTCAAAATTATTATATTCAGAAATATGATTTCATTCTATTTTTTCGGAAATTCCTGATTAAAAAACCATATAGGTTCAAAACATTATTCCATTTCCGATTCTGGTTCGTCCTGACTCTACGAAAACCTTCCGCTTATTAGTCTCAACTTTTATTTCCAACAATACTTTTTTTTTCTGAAACCAAATAAAACATCGTATTCTCTTCTTTCTCAGAATTTGGTTTCCGAAAAATGAAAAACCGAAAAGAAAATTAGCATATTGTTTGACCAACCCAGATTTCTCTACCCACCGTATTTGTTTGGCGATGCGGTCCGTCGCTGATATGAGATGTATTTCTGAAAGAAAGATGGTTTCGGATTTCTTCTCAAAATAACGACAATTGCTTATTTTTCTTCTTCCTCCTGAGATTCTTTTGCAGTGGTCACACTAATAGTTCCTTCATGTTTTTGATGCATTCCTCTGTTCCCATTCATCTTGTTTCTTTTTTATTTTCTCTCTATCTTCTCAAATGTGCAACACATTCTTCTTCCCAATTGTTTCCGACTCATTGATAGAGAATCCAGTGAGATCCGTCTCTCTCTCTCTCTGTTCAACCGTATACATTGAATTGACTAGCATGTAGTAGTTTTTTATTCCAAATCCTGATCCATTTGACACCCTTTCCCGAAAAGGCCTGCCTTCTCAATAGTTTCATTTTTCGACATTCTGATTTTCTATTGTTTTCCAGAGAGTTTTACAATTATGATTCGTCATCTACTGTTTCTCATCTTCCTACTACAACAACCAGGTAGACTAAGATCCCCCGAACTACATTATATCTTTGCCATTCAGGACCTAGTGAATCATGTCAACCACCTATGCCTGCTTCCTCATTTCAAAGCAATGGTGTCCCCATAAATGTTCCTTCCTCTCCGCAATATGTTCCTGCAAATGGATCTCCCATTGATCAGTCGGCACCGATTCCACCACCACCTCCACCTCCGCCGGTCAGTAATTCTGAGAATGGACAATTGGAAATGATCAATGCACCTGATAAAGGGGAGAAACGGACCAGAGAGGTAAGTTAAACTGGATAGACTCTCAAACTATTTACCATTACAGATAACTCCTTATCCTGGATACATTCCTCCGCCACCTGCACCTTCGTTCCCAACCCTGATTGACAATTCCGAGATGCCGCAAGCACGTGTGAATCAACAGTCCTCCAATACTTTCCGTTCAGAAACCCCACTCCAAATATTGTCTCCTGATAGTACGAGAAGAGATTTTTCTTGTCCTGATGAGTTAACTTCTATCCCCGACTTCCTTACATGTGTACGTCGCCTGTCTACCGTAACCCTTGATGAGCGGAATATGTCTTGTGATTTCGAAAAAGATTCTGGATGTCGATTCAAATCCATCTCGAGCCCACTGAGCGTTGGAAACTTCCCTAATGCAGACCACTACCGTACCTTTGCATCACTGGCTGGACGTCCAGAAGAAGAGACACCAGTTGGGAACTTTGTATTCTTCATCGAACATCGGGTATGTGTTCTAAATAATCAGATTGTAAAAAAAAGTCTGAAGGGATATTTGACTAGTCTAGCTATTAATTCTTTAATCTTCATGATAGGTCATTCGGAACGTGTTCAGGTTTTTGTGTACAGGTCAGCTGTCTTTGTTACGAAATTTGAAACTTTTCTTCTTCTTCCTGGTTTTCTGGCTGGTTTTGCAAATGTATTTTTGTTTATAGGGCACTGATCCAGAGGATGAGTTTATTATGTCAACACCCATCACATGTCAAAAGGGAAATGGAGTTCTCAAGTTCAATTATTGGATCGTTGGACAACAAGAAAAAGTAGTGCTTCGTGTTTGCACACAGAATCATTTATCCAGGTCTTGTACACAATCCATTTCATACAATGCACCAAGCGCTTCTATTGCGATTGAAGTCGTTCATCCAAATTCTACGTTTTTCGAGTTGGAAATCGTCGCATCTAATCTCGTAGATCCAGCTGTAATTGTTTATGACAACATCGAATACAAAGCTGATCTCTGCGAATGGGACGAGAAGACTGGTATAAAAGAAGATGTCGTTGATGAGAAGCCCATTGCATCCGTCGATTCATTCTTTGAAGCGGAGGAACGACAAGAAGACAAGGATCCGTCAGGAGAATCACAGGGGGCCGACGAATCAGAGTCTTCAGAGAAAGCCACGTTGACTAATCCTGTTCCAACAAGACCGATTCGTTTGTCACCAAGAAGAGCCGAAAGTAGGTTAAAAGTTTATCGAAAAGTACTGAAACTATATTTTCAGTGGAACAACTGATATCGGAGTTGACCGAGGAACGTGGATCAGAACTAATTGAAGATTCAGCAGACCGCGAGGAGCCCCAAACTGTTTGCAAATCATTAAACTGTGACTTCGATCATAGTATGTGCTTCTACAACAATTATGTAAACGAGAGCATGAGGTAATTTTAGGATTATCTGTCAGTTTTATAAGTTTTCTTGTTTCAGTATTTCTCCATGGCAACATGGAAACAACAGAATCGGCAATCCACATACGGGAGTTCGAGAAGGAAGTGGTAAGTCTATCCTGAACAGAATCACACAATCTATTATTAATCTCCAGGGTTCTTGTACGTTGGAACTGATAGTCCTGCCGATTCGAAAATCGTCAACTACATTTTAGAGTCTCCAGATCTTTCAGTAGATGAGGATTTCAATTTGAAAATGGATATTTATCGGCGTTCAAATGATATCACACTCCAAATCTGTCTGGATACACCATTCTACTGTCCGTATATAATAAATCCATTTGAGAAGGAAACCAATTGGATGGAAGGAGAAGAGTTTTTGATTCCAAAGGGAACTTTAAAGGTTTATATTCGAGCTATTCAATGGAGGAGATTCAAGTGGTTGGCCATTGATAATCTGAAAGTGACATCTACCCAATGCTAATTCGACCAAAGCTTTTAATAACAGTCATTTTAATAATGTTATCTTATGTTTCTCCTGAGCTCATTCCTAGTTCTTTTTAATCTGTGCAATTTATCATGAAAACGATCCTGGTACCTCTCATTCTCTTTTTTTTAACCGATATAGTTGTAATCTCGATGATTTTGAATAAGCTTTCGTTCGTTCTTTAAATTATAAGTTTATCTTTACTATTAACAATCACCAAATTCTGTGTGTGAGTGTGAGTGTGTATGTGTGTGTGTCCGGTGTTCCCGTGTCACCTGCCCTATCGAAGTCCAGAATAAACCAAATTTTCCCAAATTTTCACAGATAACCCGAAATAGCCGCGAGATGATGCCCGAGTATTTTATACTTCTAAATGTTGTGTCTGACGTCTTCTAGAGACGTTCTTCAATTTCTACAGGGAAAATTTTTAGAAAAATATTGAAGAAATATTCACGTCATTCCCGTCTAACCGCCTAAATTTTTTTCTTATCCACGCTTTTTCTGAGAGAAAGGTGATTTCTAGAAATATTCTTTTGGCATGGGTTTTAAAGATTTGAAATGGAGAAAAAATTCTGAAACAGGGGAAAATAAAGAGAATAAAAGGAAAAAAGTAAAGAAAGAGAATGCGAGGAAAAATAACAGCGCCCTTTCTGATCACTCGATTTTTCAGAATTCAGAATAATTTTTAAAATTTCCGAACTTAATTTCATAATTTTCAAACTTCGGAATATATACATTTTTGAGATCTTATTCACCGAATTTGCCAAAAAATTTCAAAGTTTAAGATTTTCCAACTTTTCAGTTTTTCAAATCTCGGAGTTTCTAAATTTTCGAATTCTCAAATTTAAATTTCTGATTTTTCAAAGTTCCAAAACTTTTCGACTAGAATGTTTTTCGAAAAGTTGAATTTCTGAATTTCCAATTTTTCAGGTTCTCGAATTCTAGATTCTTTTTTTTTCGTAAACCGACTGGTATATAAACAACAGTAATAAAGAATAAAGCTACAACAATATTTTCATCAGAAAACAACCCTGACAATATAATATGGGGTAGGCTTATCAGGATTCAAAATTTGGTAATTGTATTGGCCCTGGCCGTACTTCTGATCATACTCGTGCTTGGATGAATTTTGAGTGGAACTGATTTCCCGAACAACTTTCTTATTGCTGCTCTATATTCGGAACTGAAAATAGTATTCATTATAAAAGTTTTTAATTTGTCTTCCCAGTTCACTTGATGGTGTAGAACACAAAAATGTTACTTGCACAAGCCATATTCAACCCGATTCCGGCGTAAATCATCAGAATATGTACAGTGTCAATGTCTTCGACCAAATGAATACTTGCAATATTCATCATTGTTACAGTACTCCAGCCAAGAATCACAAATATTACAGTGTACAGAATGGATCTAAACACAACTTTCAGCTGTGTTGCTGAAAAAGGGAGACAGATTTTTTTTCGGTTTTCTTGACTAGATATAAGCTTACCACTTCCAGCAAGACGTTTTAATTTCAGAAATGTAACAAAGTAAACAATTACTACTCCGATGTTGATTATAAGACCTCCTTGATTAAATTTTTCAAACGAATCTCCTGACATCGCAAGAGGTACTTGACAAATTACCATAGTTTTAGGGTCTCGTTGTACAAAAGACGATACGTTGAGATATACTGTATAAATGATTGGGAAGAATAGTTGCAGAATCAGATACATTAATGACCTTGAGCATAATTGACGATATACCATTGGGAATTGGCAAGCCAGGAATCGATCTATCCCCATGGAAAGAAGAAGGGGTCCACTTATAGCAAGGCCGATGCAAGATGGAAGAAGAAGCCAGAAACAAAGTTCTTGGGAGCCAGGACCTGAACGGAGAATAATGAAGAACCTCTGTGGTTATTTCAGCCTACCATCATAGAACAACTGAAAATTAAAAACAAAGTGTCCACATAGGTGAAGCATGTCGGCTGCGCAAGTAAGTGTAATCATATAGTGACATGGCGAGTTGAATTTTCTGTAAAGAACCTTCTTTTCTATTTTAAAAAAGATTTTTAAAACCTTTCTCTGAGGAAGCAAATTATCATTATCATGTTTCCAATTAGCGAAATGATAGCACACATTAAATAGAACAAAGCGATTGGAATAAGTGGAGGTGGTATAGCAGAGATCATTTCTAAAGTTTGAGCAAAGGCATTTTGCATGCTTGTAGACCGAGATTGGTGAAAAAGTGAATGAAATCATGACTTTTGAGACTTTATAATCTAGTTTTTATTCTTATGGTGAAAGGAAAGAGAACAACAGAAGTGATGGTAAAATCTAAAAAACAATATATTCTTTTTTTTTGATAGGTGATAGATATAATGAACAGCTTATGCATTCTTCAAATTTAGTTCCTAGCAAGGCTGGGAAAATAACGACTGCAGCATTTTTTCCCAGCCCTGGTTTTTTTCTGTCATAATCTTCCTGGAGAGTATTTCGTTGGTGTGTGGAACATTCTTGGAAGTAAAAAATTAAAAAAAAAAACATCAAAGAAAACACATCAGGGTATAATTTGAAGAGTTTAAATTCTTTGATCAAGTTTTCAGTAGCAATCCTTGAAAAAATGGCGGTACCAAGAATGAGACTTCGGGGAATGAGAATTTGTGGAGATAAAAACTGGTAAAATTTAAAAAAAAGCTACAGAGGAGAAATCGTTTACAGGATCTAATACATAATTCAGAACACAGCTTTTTTGGGAAAAACAGTTTTCAAACGATCTAGTTCGTTCCTGCTAATATTTCAAAATATCCAGAAAAAATGCCACCGAAAAATTGGTGTTTCACATTTCCTATGAATCCCAAAAATATGTGAAAATTGTGATGTTATCAAAACAGATAACATCCTGAATAACCGGTCAAATATTAACGACTCTATTGAAACTTCTCTATAGAAAAAAAACACGGGAAGCAACATACATGTATTGAGGTTAGTCACGTCTCCCACTCTCAAAAAATGAACTAATGTAAACTCAATTGAGAAATTGATTGATTGAATTTGATTGTCTAGATGATTTGAAAAAAAAACTCGAGTAAGAAATCAAAATACTATTCTCCGAAAGTGAAAAAAAAACAGATCAAAAGAATTAGTAAACGCTTATTGCAAACAACATAATCTATGAGATAACAAACAATTGTTCAAATAATTTCATTCCAATCAACCATAAATTTTGTAATAATTAAAATTGTAGCGTAGCTGGTGCCACCAGGCTCATCCTTTTTGTAGTTCCCGACGGATCGCTCTTGCTGATATCTGAAGACTGAACTGTTAATCCGAAGAGGCGGCGAATTCCAGAACGATATTCAGAGCTGAAAATCAAGTTTCAGTACTTCACGTTTCTGCCTTTCTGCTCACTTTATCGCATAGAACACAAAAACATTAACAGAACAGGAAATGTTGACACCGAGTCCAGCATGAATGGAAACAATCTCAGATATTCTTTGATTTTCTATCAGTCCGATCGCCACGGTATTTCCAATTGTAACCGTTGTCCAGCCAACTAAAACTATGACAACAGTGAAGGAGATTGACTTGAAGACATATTTCATTCTCCTGGCATCTCGTTCCTTGTATCCACGCAGTACAACATAGGAGTAGATGTAGACAATCACAATAGCCACATTGATGACATTACTGGCATAAGTGAAGTATCCGAATGCTTGACGTGGAAGAGCCAAAGGAGCCATACACACTATCTGTCTGAAACGTTTCTAATAGAAGTTTCGTTGATACTATAGAAATATTACGTATTGAAATCTATCAGCTGAGATCCATAACCTATCAGAACCGTGGTAAAAGCCACCGGGAATAGCAATTGAGCACAAAGATAGAGTGTTCCATTACTCAACAAAGTTCTATAATTGATTGGGAAACGACAAGCGATGAGTCTATCGAAACCAATCGCCAGCAACAGAGGACCACTGATACAGTATCCAATAACTGTGTGGAAAAGCATAAAAAAGCAGTTAGCTTGACTAGAGGTTTCTGAAATTTAGAAAATGGTTATAAACTTTTTGAGTTGACTCACCATCTGTGACCAACTGATAATTGAAAACAAAGTGACCGGATACATGAAACAAATCAGCAAGACAATTCAGTGTAATCAGATAGTTGACAGGAAGTTTGAACTTGGATTCTTTCATGAATACCATAACCATGATACCATTGCCAATTATTCCAACTACTGCACAAACTAGATAGAACAGAGCAATAGGAACAAGAGGCCAGTTAGAGTCGATCATTTCAAATGAAAAAAATGAGAAAAAATTGGGACAACTTCAATTTAATAAATCACAAAACAGCTCAATGGACTTTTTCTACTTCTCAATATAGCCACCCTTCATAAATTATCGCTGACCATAAACTGATTATATCAATCAAAGAAAAGTTGGTCTAATATCAAAAACCGGAAGTCAACGGAAATTTTGTCTAAATTTGATCTTTCGGTTCTATCACAAGTGCTCCAAATGACCAAGATGACGATTCTACTTTTCTTGTCCCACCCCACATCTCTAATTGATGCTTTCATTTGGACAGTCTATAATTTATTTCTAAATTTATATCGGCACAAGTCCAAAGTCACGTATTTTCTAGCTGATGTTATAATAATGCAATTGATGTCGTTGGTCAAGCCAAATTGGGAAAATTTTTCGGGAAGGAAAAAAAAGAATAAAGTTTATGATTATTCGATTTATTGTATAAGAAAATTATGTTGAAAAAAGTTGGTCATAAAATTTTGTTAAGCAGACACTCGAAGTTTTCTAGATCTTCTCCAATCGGCGGAAGTTACATCCACCTCTGTTATCTTCACTGGCTGCTTTGAACCCTTCGGAGTGTAATTCGCGAATTCATCACTTTTTCCTCGTTTCGGACATTGACAATAACCTGAATCTGGTCCAGGACCCCCAACTCTTCCAGGCTGTAATAACACTCATTAAATGTATTCACAGATATGTTCTTACCATTCCAGGATGTCCGTCTCCACCAGGAACGCCCGATTGTCCAGCTTTACCTTGTGGTCCTGGAGAACCTGGTAGTCCTGACATTGGATACCCGCCATCTACTCCTGGAGGACCGGCGTGCCCAGGTCTTCCAGGAGATCCAGAAGGACCAGGTGATCCAAATGATCGTGTTCCCGATCTTCCGGGTTGACCGGCGGCACCATCATGCCCTTTCCCACCGTCCATACCGCTATCACCAGGTATTCCCGGCCATCCAGTTGGACCTTTTTGCCCTGGAATGCCATCCGAACCGGGAGCTCCTATATCTCCAGAGTGTCCCATTGGACCAGGTCTACCTGGTAGTCCCTGTGGTCCCATTGGACATTGAATACAACCATTATATGGGAGTTTCATAGAAAGGGATATTCCAACTCCTCCAGGGCTTCCTGGATGCCCAGAAGATCCATCTTCACCTGGGTGTCCGGGATGTCCCCGTGGTCCGGGATGTCCTGGTGGGCAGGTCACTGGCACTGGAAAACCAAATCTGATTTTATATTACTGTTAAGTAAGTTCATACTTCCTCCACCTTCTGGAACAGCATAACTATTCATTGGAGGAATAGTGACGTATCTTGGTTGTCCATTATTATTTCGTGGTGGTAGTTTAATTCTGTAGACAGCCCGTTTTTCTCTGATAGAATCGGAAATCAAATTCCACGCATCATCAGAATATTTCTGAAATTCTTTATTCTGATAATTTGCAACCGAATACCACCAACTTCAAACATTTTTAGATCACCATAAGCCAGATCTTCAAAATCTCCAATCTCTTGAAACAGTAGAAACATTGCCAAGAATACAATTAAAAGCGATAGAAGAATGAAAATAATGGCTGAGAAAAGCAGATTTGTGTGCTTCATATTGTCTATATTTTCAGAATATAGATCTTGTTTTTATATTGTTCTGAAACAAAGGGAACCAATGCAAAAAATAGAAGAGAGGAACCGAACGAAAGTAAAAAAAAATTTAAAAGAGGTAAAGTGAAAATAACGATTAATTACTATAAAACTAGTGAAGAAATAAAGTGGTTGCGTTTTGAAAAACGAGGAAAATGTGATGATTTTCTAAAAATTCCTAAAATCATTATCGAAATGAAACTTGAACTGTCTGTTGACATAAAAATCATAATACAACGCAATCGTCAAAATGAATATTAGTGGAGCCACAACGACAGAAATCTTGTCGATTCGGCTGATGGAATTTTGAGCCACCCCGAATGGGTCCGTTTTGATATTCTGAAATATTACATTTTTTATAATGTTTCGTTGTTTCACTTTTTAGAGTTTTAAGAATCGGGTTGGGTAAGAATTTCCGTCAGATGAATAATGTTCATTCGCATTAGGGTCTGTTTTTTATTGCAGTAAAAAAGGCAAAGGCTTCTGGACAAAAACGATTGAATTATTGCTTTTTTGTTTTTCGCCAAATTGATGCATGTCTAGAAAAAAGAACTTTTTCTATTATTCTGGAACAAAACAATCAGAGCTATTGAAGAGAAACGCAGGTGGCCGAGGCCGATGGTCCCACAACAACAACTACAGTAACCCAATGTTTTTATTTTCAGAATTTTTTTCTCGATTTCCGTACTTTTGTAATTTTTTTGACTATAGAAACTTTTAATTTTTCGACTTGTCCGGGGGAAAATTAACAAAGAAAAACGGCGAAAATAACCTAACAACGAGAAAATAAATTCTGAATATTGAAATAATATTCGGTGCTGTAGTTTTTGTTGTGGGACCTTCTATCTTTTGTACCATTATAATAACTATAGAATTAATTCCAGAAAAAAAACTAACGTGATCAATCATCCAGTAATACAATCGCCATCCAACATTTTCCTGACGAATCGATTCAAGATTCAAACTACTTTCAACTTCATTCTGCAATAAGAAGCATGATTTTCTCTATTTCCTTTGAAAAAGTACCTCAATCACATTCGTATTCGTAGTTTCCATATGACTTATCTTTCTCATCAACTGAATTGACTCGAATTGCTCACTCTTTTTCGGATGACGAACTGACATAAATCGAGTTGTTTTATTTGGAAGAGATCTCTGAAACCTCTTTGTGATCAAGTAAAATACGATTCTGACGAATTACCGTTATTGACACTGGTTGAGCAGCATTTCGACGTTTAAATGAGGGATATGATCGATTGTTTGTATTTCTAAAAACAAGTAATAATCAAAGAAACTTGCTAAAAATTACATACTTTGGAATTTGCTTAATTATTTGTCTCAATCGTTCTCTCTCGACTTCTTGAATCTCCGGGTCTCCCGTGTTGTATTTAGTGTGATAATGGACTACTGTAAACTCCACCATGCAAATCAAATGTGTAAGATAACAAATCCAAATGTAAACTTCGAGAGCTGTGGGACTATCAACTTTGGGAGAGTCTGATTTGCTATCCAGAGATATCAACACAATAGTCAGCACGTTTGTGATGCCGATTCCGATTCTTTCGGCAGTTGCTTCTCGTTTTGTGAAGAATGCCACCCAGCATAACAACACAACAAGTGCACATGGGACATAGAAGTTCATCAAGAAGTATCCAAAATGGCGATCAAAATAAAATCGAACTTCCAAAGCAGAATACTCTTTATCTCTTGTCAAATTAGCAGCTTCATAAACTTTGAATCCGGATAAAGAGAACTGTGGAAGGTCAGCAATGCTTTCATAGTCGATTTTTACTCCATTGTCCTCTCCCATTATTCTCCATTTGTATTGTACTTCATCAGATGAATAAGCATATGAACCAATTATCAGACGGCATGCTTGCTTGTCAAGTGGATAACGACTCATGTCCATTTGACATTTGGCTGCAACAAATTTGAGAATTTCATAAAAATTGTGATCGCAATACCTTTCACTGTAATTCTACTCGAGTATAAAATTGTTCCATCGGTTTCCAATCGCACTAGACGATTCGGAGTTGTGATTCCATGAACATAACTTCCAGCTCCATTCCAGAAGTACTATAATTTCAGAAATTTCCAATACGAGACTCGCATTTTCAATACCGTATCAGGCTTCCAGATTTTATCGAGCATAGCCATACTCAGAGAAAGTTGTCGAAAGCCAATGCCGCTATTATTAAAGTGTAATCTATCATCTGTCCATTTTTGGCGAAAATAGCAATTGAAGGAGTAGGTGTATGCCAGATCAGCGACTGGACCCATTGTTCGAATGAAAAGATCAATGTAAACTTTGGTTGGTTTTCCTGCTGTAACGGTATTTTGAATATAATGGTTTTTCTTGAAAGCTTACATTTGAATCCAGGCCGGAAATGTTGATCATAGTTGTTGAGAACATCATTCAGAAGATGGGTGACGTTTTGAGCAACTCCAGATTCCCTAAAATTCAGTAATCAGTTTACCCAAGTTATTAATATATTACCTTCTGACAAACGTATCTCGTTTAGAACGGATACTACCTGGTCTTTGATATTTGACGTTTTCAATTCTAAACTTGAATTCTTCGGTTTGAACAGGTATTATCAGAATCAATATTAGTATCAAAATGAGATTAGGATATCGAAGAAGCATTCGGGAGGGCGAAAATAGAAAGAAACAAAAACACGGCACCGCCCGACTTTATACAAATCGTTTCTCTGCGTTTCTCTCATCTTCACACTATTCCAGAAGCAAGAAATCAAGGCTTGTTAGGGCTGTTGAAAGGCGAAAACGGTCCCCAGGGAAGTGGAAGTCGAATAAGAAGAAGAAGACGTGAACTCTGCTGATTGAGAAGAGAGATTCGAAGAAATGGTGTCGAAAAGTTTATGAATGATTTGAGATAGAAAATAGACAAAAAAAGAGAGAAGTGGAAACAAGAGGAAGTAAAACGAAAAAAAAGAAAAGAGATATGTCAAAAAAGTCGGTTACTCTTCGAATATGAAACGATAAATTATGATAGATCGATTGTCAAATACTTCGTTTGAATAGTCTTTCCGTTTTGATTTTCCGTGCGACTCGGACACCTGAAAAATGTCTTAACTTACTGATGAAGAGACTTCTTGTAATAGAAGGGCACCTAACTTTTAACTTTGAGCTGACTTTTCTCGGTTTCTGTGAAAGATATAAGAAATTTGTGAACTGAAGAATTGTTTATCATCATGTCAGGAGTGTTTTGTGTTAACACATTTTTGATATCTTGCATAGAAATTGAGATGATTGAGCTCAAACTTGACAGTGTGGGGTCTTTCTTTTACAGGGTTTTTCGGTCCCTTCATAATGAATTATTCTAAAACTCACATCTTCTCCACGTCTTCTTTGTTTTTCTGTGTGAAATAACATAGAATAGTGTGAATGCAGTTCCTTGGTGTGCTTGAGTGAATAATGAGTAAAAGAGCAAACCTGAAAAACAAAGTCTTCATAAAGATACTTCAAAAAGAAAGCCTACCACCCGTATACGTTTTCATAAACTCGAAATATACACATAACAACATATGAACAACTGGAAGGACAACGAAAAATGCTTGAATGCCGCATGATATGAGGAAAGAAATTACAACTTGCATATGATATCTCATTGTTTGAACTGACATTGTATCCTTTGCAGATTGAACAATTGCTATAGTTGTGAGACTACATAGAACGAAAACAAATGCGAAAAGAACAGTTACGGAACAAGCAACGATCATCATAACTGTGAATTCCCAAGCCGTTGGATCCAGAACGTAATATTTGGGACACAAGATAAACTCTAATTTATACTTTTGATAAAATTCTCTTTTCCAAGCAGTTTGATATTCTATGTTGTCCACTCTAAATAATAGTAGGATACTCCCAACACTGACGATCATCAAGACATAATTAGCGCTTGCTAGTTGATGAGCTCTTCTCAAAAAAGTATTCGTGGAATTCTTTCTCAGAATCAAAGATCTTGATAATAACATTAGACGACAATGAGCAATAAAGAGAGTTGTCGTGTTGATACCTGAAGGAAGAAGAAGTTTGGTGTCAAAATATGATTAACTTTTTTGATTTGCATAGCAGGGTTCAGAATTTGTTTAAAAAACTCACCATGGTGAAGGACTAAAGCAGCTATCAGATATGTTATAACTCTCGGGTAAATGTTCTCTAAAATTCCACCAACTTGAAGACCCAATACAGGAATTGCGAACTGTGGATAGAATAAAGTAGACATATCAATTAATTCAAGATAGTTTCTGAAAAAATAATCTAAAAATTGTAAGGTTCTCCGAAAACAACATACAGAATGACTGCTATAAACTGTGCGGCTCGGATATACTGACTTTGAGTATCCGAATAGTATTTCAGTAGAAAAACCGCTGTTGCATAAACTGGAAATCCATAAACTGGAGCCCAAAGAACTGCGACGTTTTGCCAATGTTGATATTGATTAAAATTGCATTGTGAAAGGTTTAAGGGGTTTTCCATCAAAATAATGAACAACTGGAAATAAGAGATTAGAGCCAGCGAGATATATAATAGAGGGGAGGAGACAGGTGTAGTTTCTGTTGAAAATTTAATTATTTCATGGGGCACTCTATATAATCGTGGAAGCAGCTGAAATTTTGAGAATTCTAGGAACTAGATGGAAATTTAAAAGACAAACGTCTAGTAATGAATCCGAAAATCAGAAATTTCCGAGCATGTAAGACCCTTTTTGTCTAATGTAATTTGAATTTTTTTCTTTGTTTCTTCTTCTGAAACTTTGTTTGGTCCAAATTGGTCCTATTCTGTTGGTCCAATTGATTTTCATCATTTTAACTCGTTATGAACGAAATCACATGGTGCATCCAACAAGTGTGTTTGGCTTTTACTTCAATGATAATCTATGATATTTTTGTCATGCTGTAGCATATCCAGGAAGTTTTTCAAAACACCGGAACTCTCCCTTTCATTGATAAATTGAACTTATTGAACTTAATTTGTAAGCATTTAAAATTAGATTAAAACTTCACATATGCATTCTTTGATTCAAGGTGTTTCCCTCTTGTACACCATCTGCTGTTTTGTTGATTTTTATTATATCTGCTTCATAATTTATCATTCATGAAAATGCATTTTTCATCTGCTCAAGCCGATAATTTTTCAATTAATTACATGTTCAATACATCAAATTTCAAAAAGTTGAAGATCAGACGTCATCGATGTGGTGGTTTCATACCGCATACCCAATTGTAGAGTGGAATCGACAAGAATGCGGCAATATTAGTTCCTAGGGAGTTGCCCATTGAAGCAGCTGATAGCGAATATTCACGGACATCCGGACTGACCTGTAAGAAATTAATTTTTGGAGATCAAAAAAGTCACCTCACTTTTTTGTGAATTTTATTGTAAGTGTTCACATAGGCAGATCCTCCTAACAATCCCTCGAAAACAATCAATGCAAAAATGATAATAATTGTAGGAGTGAACCAATAAACAGCTTCAAAAAAGAAGAATACCATATTTGCACATTGAAGAATCGGAAGACACCAAATCAACCATAAAGGCATTTCGAAGAACTTCACAGAAGATCGGGAAATGAATACTCCGAGTTGATAAAGCACCTGATACCAGCGATATTGACTGGAAAGTGGAAGATTGAGACCTTGAGAACAGTTAAATATAATTAGTTCAGTAAGTCCCTGATTTATCATGTACTCAGCACAATACACGGTTGCCAGTGGAATCATTAGGTATAGAAGAGGTACTATCAATTTCAATCTTTCCATTACTCCAAGTTCTCTTTGCGGAACTTTTTTAGTGTTCAATACATCTCCTCGTGCTTCAGCGGCTTCCTAAAAATTTCTTAGCTGCTAAGTTGATCAGATTTTAAATCTTCAAAACTCACAAATACATCTCTATCATAATTGTCGGGGATTATCCATGTCTTTGGATTGAATGTGGGAGAATATACAGTTGGCGGAATAGTCAATAAGAAAAAGTAAGCACCTGCAAAGAGGACCGGAATGAAAAGTTGGGCAAGAAGAGTGTTAGAAGGAGAAAGTCCGGCTTGAGTGATGAATGCGTAGGAGAAGGATCCGATTAAACCAGCACCCCCAGTTCCTGAGGACCAGGATGCAATTGTTCCTCTGAATTCAAAAGATTGAACTCCTGATGTTTAGTGTGAATATTAAAAAGATTAAAGGTGGTGTACGGTGAAATTTTTTATTGCATCAAAATGTGCAGAAATGCATGTAGATTCCCATAAAAATAAAGAGAAAATTCAAAAAAAATTCCTTCATCGAGAAAAACGCATCGAAAAATACGCTGGAAGCCCTTAGGGACGAGGTTTTTTCTAGGCCGCCCGGTGAGTAAAAGCGCGCGAATTCAAATTTTTAAAATTTTTTCGCTCGTTTTCACTTTTTTTCGGTTTTTTCAAGAGTTTTCCAGGTTTTTGTCAATTTTTCTTCCAGATATATCGGAAAATTTGAAAAAAACAGTGAAAACGAGCGAAAAAATTTTAAAAATTTGAACTCGCGAGCTTTTACTCACCGTTCGGCCTAGAAAAAACCTCGTCCCTAAGGGCTTTCAGCGTATTTTTCGATGCGTTTTTCTCGATGTAGGAATTTTTTTTGAATTTTTTCTTTATTTTTATGTCAATCTACATGCATTTCTGCACATTTTGATGCAATGAAAAATTTCACCGTACACCACCTTTAATGAATCAATAGACACTTGCAATTTATATTTTTTGCTACTAATTGGAGATAACTTACGGTACATAATGCGCTGCCATCGCCAAGAACGTAATTTCTCCGATTCCCTGACCCAACGATGCCATACATACTCCTGCTAGGGACATTGCAATGCTTCCAGAATATGCAACTATGAAATATGAAGCTGCTTGTAGGACGAAAACTATAACTGCTCGGAATCTGAAACCGAACTTCAGATGAACTTCAAGTTGTCATGCTACTCACCCAAATGGAAATCGATGCATAAAAAATGGAAACGTGGTTTGCACGACCAACGCTGGGAGGTTATCAGCTAGAAGGACAGCTCCAGCAGAAACAGAGTTACAGTGTCTACTCGTTAAACCGGTCTGAATAATATAAATGCTCAAATTTTCCAGAATAAAAACTCAAAACCTCACAGGTGTTACTGGTATTCGTCGAGCCGGTCCCTTTTTGATTATCTAGAATATCTTCCGCAGCTGATAACATAATGACATACCCGTAATTGTTACACAACCCTAGTAGCCTGCAATAAATTAGAGTCTGTCAAAGTAGGAATTGATGGAAAACGTACCAAAAAGCTATTATATCTCGAGCGTTGGTCCAATTGACCATTCTTCAAAAAAATGATCACAGTGGAGACGCACCGAGAAAGAAGGAAACAAAATGAAACAATGCAAAACCGGCTTATCAGCAGTACAACAGCAGCAGCACATGGCTTTCTGGTAAGTCTTATCACTAAAAGAAAAGTTAGTGGCGGAGACACATATCAAATGAACTAGTGACATTCTAGGTTTTAAAAAGTGAAAATTCCGGCCACATACATCAAACCGGAGTAATATGTGAACTTTGAAGTTCCGTTCTTCTTACTTTCATTATAATGTCGCTGATTTAAACATTTTAAAAGGTAAATTTGTTTCTTCTCGAATTATCAAATCATCATTCGCTTCAAAAATATTCTTCATGAAATTTTCCTGTAATTTCCAATTAAAATTATATTACCACTGTTGGAAAAATAAGTTTTCGCATTCTCAGACTCGGGCCCTGTTTCGGTTTGCTCGGAGTCTGAAAACGGATAATCCGATTTTCCGATTTGTTTCAAAAAAAATCATTCTGAAAAGAACGATACGTAAAAGGAGCACCGGCAATATTAATGTTGATTTTCGCCTTTTCAAACCTGAAGTTATTGCTCTATGCGGTGTTGAATTAAGTTTTTCGAAAAAAAAAACGGAAACAATCGGATATCCGATTTTCCGGATTGTGTTTTCCAATTTAAGTCTGGTCCAGTTTAAAGTTATATAATATATATAGGCACCGCAATGAAAGGGGGCGGGGCGACCAAATTTTTCTCCCCTTTTCAGAAATCCATCTTTGAAGGCTTGTACCGGGCGTTAGAAACCCATTATTTTTTTGGTGAGAACTTGTCCCTATGTAATCGACTACGCTGAATCCAATGAAATTATCAGTTCTTCGATAACTTTATTATTTTGATTCGAAAACTTCGAAAAATAGAAGTGGGACTGACAAAGTGGACTAAAAGTGTTGGATGGAAGTTCGCGCCATTAGATTTTTTAATGGATTCTGATAGTTTTTGAACTGGGGGATTGGATTTTGAAATAAAATCAAAATTCTAACGACGCCCTTGTTTCACAATTTTCAGCCAAAGTTCCAGCTAAAATAAATAAAAAATTTCAGCGATGACCCCAATTTTTTTTTTGCATATTATGGTAAAACTAAGTCTTGTGTATACTTCTGCCAATTTTCAGAAAGATTGAATACCTCTAAGTAGTTTTGATACTCATCCGAAAATTCCAAACTTTCAAAATTTTCAGTTTTTGGAAGTTTTGAAGGTGACACAGGTGAGCGCCACCGATTTTCTTTTCACCATAAGATTCTACGCAAAATTTGCCACTAAGAGCAATTATAATTAAAAAATTCTATCGACGCCCTTAATGTGTTATACGTCTGTTTCCTTATCTATCATGGAACAACTTGTAAAAAATAGGAAAGAGGCAACACCGGAAGGAGACGGCAGGCAATGAAAAGTCGTCCTTTCCTCACTCTCATGTATTGCTTCCAAGAGAAGTGCAGCGGTGGCAGACTGGTTAGTGGGCGCGCGCACCGATCTGAAGACCGAAGTTCGCATCTCCCATGGGGTTTTTTTGTTTTTTTTTTCCCTTTTTTCAATGGGCCACGGTGTTTGCACAAAACAGAAAGTACCGTAGTAATTCAGAAAGTTTGTGATTTTGTTGTTTTTACTATAATTATAATTACGATATGTCTGATTCATCTTCAAAAATGGATCCTGAGCCCCCAGAAAAACGGAGGAAAGGAGGTATTGTTAATCAATAAATTATAGTAAAATTTTGAAGTCTGAATGTTATAAACTTATTCTTTTCGTTTTTTTACCCTAAAAACTGCTTTTCCGACAAACCAAGATGCGATTTTGATGAAAAAACAGCGCTCGGAATAGCGCCACAATGAAACCGCGCCGCAGCTAAGCCCCGCCCACTTTTCTGCGCACCGCAAAAAAATGAGGAGAAATTCAGTACATTGAGGTCTGGTATAAAAGGGGCTGTAACTCGGGATTGAATGAAGATTTTTCCCTGAAATTTTGGGAATGGACTTCTATAAAGTAGGAGAATACAATCCAACAATAAAAACTGGGAAAAGTCTATTTTGAAAATTTTGTTGTGGTGCCTAAATATATAATAATTTATTGATCAGAAGAAAATATGGCACAAAAGTTATAACGGGAGCTCTAGATAAAATCCCTAACGAGATGAACCTAGAGAATGGGGAAGAAAATGGTAAACATGTAAGGTTGGCAAGATATTTTAAAAAAAGGGAAAAGGTGAGCAGAAAACTAAAACCAGGTGATGGAAGATTGGATTAAGGTAGAAAATTGACCGGGAGTTAAAAATTGGGGAGTATTCCTTACAATTGCATTCCAAATAGGGGCGGTGGTGAAAAAGAAGTCATCGGAACATTTATCTGAGAGAATATGGGTCATAGGTCTCCTAGGACAGTCGGAAATTTTTAAGAAAGAGGATAATTCTGGCATATAAGAGGCGTCACTAATCATTTTGTAAAGCAGCATAAGTTTAGATTTAAGTCTACGATGTCTGGTAGAGAAGAGGTCAAGTTGGGAGAGACGATCTTGATAAGAAGAGTATGAGAAATTGCATTTCTGGAAGACTTTACGGGTGAAGAAACGGAGTGGGGATTCGAGTTTTTGAGAGAGTTTGGAATTGGGGGGAGGAGAACAAATTACTGAACAGTACTCAAGAGAGGGGAGTACGTAGGTTCTGAATAAGTGAAGGTAGAAAGAGGGGTTGGTGGATTTGAAAGGTTTCAAAAGTTGTTTGGATCGGAGAAGTGAAACAGCAACCGATTTGTTTATGTGTTGGGTGAACTTAAGTTTGGAGTCGGTAATAAGTCCTAGATCACGAATATTGTCTGAAGAATCATAAGCTGAGGAGGAGATGAAGAGGGGAGCGTGCTTGTTTCTTGAACCAAGGCGTAGAAGAGAAGTCTTTGTATGAGCTAGAGGAAGCTTATTGTTAGTGGCCCAGGTATCTATAGTGTTGATTCCAGATTGTAGAAGGAAGGGATCTTGGGAATAGAGTTTTATTTCGTCAGCAAAAGCAGAGAAGTGGAGACCAGTGGGGATACTTTCAAGAAGATCATTAATGAAAATGTTCCTTACCCGTTTTCTATTTTGAAAAGTTTCATTTGTTCAGAATATCGCTGACAATGTGGAAACGTTCCTCTCAACATGCCAAGAGTCGAAACGGAGAAACATACTGAGCCAAGCAGAAAGGATCCCAAAAATTCTGCTTTTGAAAGTATATCTCTCCGATTGAAGTACATCTCTCCAATAACCTATCTTCGGTCAATAAATTTAGTTTTTATCCCTATTGGGATCCGATTTTTTTCGCGTCACTGTATGTATAAACCACAAAAAAGTTGTGAATGGGAACTGTCCTGGGACCAATTATAATAAAATCGTTCCTCTTTTTTTTTCCTTATGGATTTTCTAAAAATCATAACAAAGAACACATTTCTAAAGTTATTATTTCCTTGATCCTTCCTTTTCATTCTTCCATTGTTTTAGACAATTTTTTAAGCTTCAGATATTCAATCCGGAAAACCAAAAGCCATCATAGTTATTTGTTCAAAACTCCACCTTATTCTTGGAGCTAAATCTGAATTGCTTGAGCACAAACATCAAGCATTTTCTTTGCCGAAGTGTAACATTGGTCTTACTAAAGTCTATTTTGCTTTTGAATACCTACTTAATTTGAGAACTTCCTAGTTTACCGCCTACATCTCATAGACCATCGGTTTAGTTTTATGCAAGCTGGTATAAAAGAAAAATCTATTTCTGGTGCATTCATTTTATTCTCTGAAATGGCTGATAGAGAATGGATAGTTGTAACCGATACTGCTGGCCCGGTTGGCTTTTGCCTCTCAATTATTTCTAACACCACTCTGCTGTTTTTAATATTCTCTAGAAGTTCACCAATCAAAGGGCCATACAAGAAAATGTTGATCGTATTGTGTATCTTCACAGTTTTCTATTCATTCGTTGAAATAATGCTCCAACCTCTGATTCATCTCTATGATGACACTCTGTTTTTGATTCAAAGAAAACGTTTTGATCTGTCTAAAACGATTACAAGATTGATCCCAAGTAAGATTTCAATACAGAAACAATTAATCAAAATCGGATACTTTAGCTACTTACTGTTGGTGCTACGCGATGAGTTTCTGTCTTTTTGCTCTACAATTCTTATATCGATATGTGGCAGTGTGCAAGTATTGAAGTCATGATATAGTTCAATTCTGACACACTAAAAATTCCAGACCTCAATACGTCGGCTACTTTGCTGGCTGCTACTTTTATTACTGGTTGGCTCTTATCTTATCACTTGCTACAAGCTGGGGTTTGACTGCTGCTTTTATGTTCCCCCAAACGAATCGAACGACCGAAAGTTTTCTTTATGTCATCGAAACTTCTTACGACTTGGATCCGTATTGGGCAGATTATGTGGCTTATAAATATGTGAGAACTCTACCTAAATCCATTAAATTAACAGTTAATTGCAGTTTGACACCGATGAGAATCATGTTCGGCACATAAATGTTCTCAGTTTCTTTGGCGTTTTGCAACATGGTCTTGTAATAGTCAGTTATATTTTTGGAAATCCAAAAAAATTGAATGCGTTTTCAGAGTTTGAGCTTTGGCACATTGTTTTATTGCGGTGTACAAACGTATGTGAACATCAAAAAGCACACAGGAATGTCCGAAAAAACTCGAAGTCTTCAGCTACAACTTTTCAGAGCTCTTGTTGCTCAGGTATATTACCATTGCTAAGTAATTACTCAATTTCGATTCAGACTTGCCTTCCAATGTTTATGATGTACATTCCGATTGGGTTCATGTTTTCTTGTCCTTATTTTGATTTACAACTCG